AGTGTTCCCATGTTCTCTTTGAACAACTGCTTCTTGGTCCAGGTACAGATTCCTCAGGAGCACAATTCAGTTTTCCAAAATACTCATAGTTCACAATGTTGTCTATAGCTTGTAATGATCCACACAATTGAAAGCTTTTGCATAATCAGTAAAGCACAGGTAAACATCTTGCTGATATGCTCTGCTTTTAGCCAAGATCCATCGGATATCAACAATGATATCCCAAATTCCACGGCCTCTTCTGAATCCAGCTTGAACCTCTGGAAGTTCTCTGTCAGTGTATGCTTGCAGCTGTTTCTGTATTTAGCAAAACTTTAATCGCATGGGATATCAAAGAGATTGTCGGATGATTTCCGCATTCCGTTGGGTCACCTCTCTTTGGAATGGGCACAAATACAGATCTCTTCCAGTCAGTCGGCCAGATAGTTGTCTTCCAAATTTCTTGGAAGAGACGGGTGAGTGCCTCCTGTGCCACCTCACTTTCTTGAAAGATTTCAATTTTTATTCCATGCCTTGTTCTTTGCCAATCCCTTCAGTGCATCTTGGACTTCCTCCTTCATTGGTTCTTGATCATAGGCTACCTCTTGAAACAGTTGAACATCAACCATGTCCTTTGGGTACAGTGACTCTATGTATTCCTTCCTTCCTTCTTTTGATGCTTTCTGCGTCATTCAGTAATTTGCCCAGAGAATCCTTCAGTAACGAAAGTCGAGGCTTGAATTTCTTCTAAAAAAATTTTAGAAAAACAAAACATTTTTGTTGTAAATTGAATGTTTTCAGATATGCAGCTCTGAGCTTCCCTAAGCCCTATGCTTCCTACCACTACTGCCTCCACCTCACCGTGTTCCATGCCTCTGAAATCCTGCCAGGAACTGGGCCTTTCCCACTGGTGAAATGAGCGTCTTGTTTTAAACTTTCTGTGAATTGAGTGAAGGTTTACAGAGCAGATCATCAGTTTTACATTCAGCAAATCAAGTCCTTTGCTTCCTTACAACGATTGCAATCTCCTTAAGGTACTGGTGTGGCTCTGTGGGCTAATGTGTCAGACTACAAAGTCAGTGGTTCCGGCTCACCAGCAGCTCCTTGGAAACCCTGTAAAGGGTTGCTATGGGTTAGAATTGACTCAACAGCAGCAAGGCACCACCAGTTAATAGGTGTTTGTCTAATAGTTGTTTGTCGTTAGGTGCAGTTGAGTTGGTTCCTACCCATTGCAATTTTGTTTACAACAGAACAACATATCGCCCAGTCCTACACCCTCCTCAGAGTTGCTCCCAGGCTTGAGCCCATTGCTGCTGTCACTGTACCAGTTCATCTCGTTGGGGTCTTCCTCTCTCTTGCTGACCCTCTACTCTACCTAGGGTAATGTCTTTCTCCAGGGACTGGTTCCTGCTGATAAAACGCCCAAAGTATGAGAGACAAAGTGTGGCCATCTTGACTTCCAAGGAGCATTCTGATTGTACGTCTTCCAATACAGGTGTGTTTGTTCTTCTGGCAGTCCATGGTACCTTTAATATTCTCCAACATTATAACTCAAATGCATTGATTCTTTTACGGACTTCCTTATTCTTTGTTCAACTTTCTCATTCATATAAGATTATTGAAAATACCATGGCTTGGGTCAGGTGCATCTTACTCCTTAAACTGACATCTTGTTGTGCATCAGATTTGCGTAATGCAGTACGTCATTTGATTTTTTAACTGCTGCTTCAATGAGTTGTCATCACAGTCAACTCTACTTTGAGGAGGCAGCTCTCCCCAGTCATATTTTGAGTTCCTTCCAAACTGAGGGGCTTATGTTCTGGCACTATGTTTGACAATATTCTGTGGCTATTCACCTTGTTTCAGTTTTCAGTAGTGTGCTATCTTGACAGCATTTCAGCGCTATTCAGAAGGTTTGCAATGGTCAAATATTCGGAAGTAGTCCATCTCTTCATCCAAGTCTGTGTTAGTTTAGAAGCTTAGCTGAAATCTGTTCACCATGGATGACCCTGCCAGCATTCAAAATACCAGTGGCATAGCTTCCAGCTTCACAGTAACATGCAAGCCTGCATGTCACTACAGTGCGACAAACTAATAGATGAGTGGCAGATAAGTTAACAATGTTTATGTCCATTTCCTTTAACTCTAGCACTCCTCCCTATGTATTTTGCTACCTTCATCTTTCCTCTGCCAACCTCCCTCTTGTATATTGCCTGCCTGGTCACCCATATTAACCTGAGTATACCCTCTAGTCCTTTCCCTACCCCCAGAGAAAAGATAGGTTTTTTTTAAATAAACCTTTTTATTGTGAACTGAGTGAAGGTTTACAGACAGGATGATCAGCTTTACATTCAACGAACCATACACTTTGTTTCATCTCAGTAATTACAGTCCCCTGCATGCAACAACAGTTATCCTGCTTCCTCCCAATGATTCGTATTTGCATTCCACCCATCTTCCCATCTCTTCAACAACTCTGTCCTTAGGAAAATGTTGCCCTTTTGATTTTGAATGATGACTGACCCTTCCATGGTGAGCATACCTTACTAGTGTTGTAGTCCCCCATATATGCTCATCTGGAGTCCTGGTGTGGCGCTGTGGGTTAATGTGACAGACTGCAAAGCCATTTGAACTGCAAGGTTGTCAGTTCACGCTCACCAGCTGCTCCTCAAAAACCCTATAGAGGGTCACTATGGTTTGGAACCCACTTGATAGCACTTAACAACATATACCCATCTACTACTTGGCTAAATTTGTACCACAAGGTGAGTTCCTTCCAGACTTGAAATGCGGTTGAGGGTCATAGGCTCAAGTTCCTCCAGTTTACTGGGGTCTTTTAATAAATAATTTAAAATTTTCTCTCAGTCTGTGTTGTTGTTTAGTGCCGTCGAGTCAGTTCTGACCCAATAGTGACCCTGTATAGGGTTTCCGAGGAGCATCTGGTGATCTTGAACCGCCGACTTTGTGGTTCAAACTAACTTTGCAGTCCAGACAACTAACCCACAGTGCCACACCAGGAGTCCAAAGTACAGAAGCTATGAGCAGGATTTTAACCTTTGTGGGGAGAACCCCATTGAATTTTGAGTCCAACAACTTATAATGACTCAGTCATCACAGCTGCACTCTCTCTAGGAGCCTCTAATATGGTCTCTTTCAGATCAGGTAGTAGTGTTAGCCAGGTATCATCTCAGAGTTGGGGAGATTTATGTTCACATTTTTCATTAGTTCAAACCTCTTCAATTCTTATCACTCTTTTCTTCCACACATAAAGAGAGCAATAGCTGCTTCAAGATCCCAGACACTACTCACAAAAGGAGGATGTAGAACATTGTCTTGTGGACTGTGTTATGCCCGTTGACCAGGGGGCCCAGATGCTTATTGAAAAAGGCCATTCTTTTGACATTTATTGAGCAACCAAGCAGTGAGCAAATTTTTTACTTCAAAAGAAATAATTTAATTTTGAAAAAAGTTCACACTTACAGAAAATTGGCAAAAGCAGTACAAAGAATGCCTTCCTTATAACCTTTGGCCTACATACCGCACATAGTAGTCACATGTCTAGATCTGGAGCAGTCCCTCCGTTTATTTTTGACTTCTGCAACTTTGACACTTGCGAAGGTTATTAGCAGCCTAGGACTTTTGTTTACAGTCTGGGACTTTTCTGGTTTGGAGCAGAACATCTTTGTTGGAGACAATGAAACCTGAGGCTTAGAAGACCTGAGTAAAAGTATCACTCTGCAAGAGTCCTAAGTCATTATTTGATTAGCGGAAGTAATTATAAAATTAGCGGAAACGCTGACCTAAAAGATCAAACTAAGACATTGAGTGCAATTATTGGAATTGTTACCAAAGTGCTGTTGCGTCGGTTCCGACTCATAGCAACTAAGGAGTGGCCAGTGAGGTTGAACTGCCAGCCTTGCGGTTCACACAGACCTTGCAGCCCAGCACATTATCCCACAGTGCCACACCAGAATAGCTGTCTAAAAACCCATTGCTGTTCAAGTCAGTTTCAACTCTTAGAGACCCTCCCTATAGGACAGAATAGAACTGCTGTCCCAGAGACACCATCGGCCATTCAGGCAGAAATCATTAGGCGTGGGTTTGAGATGTAGCAGAGAGCCACTAATTGTAAGACAAAACTTTCTGCAAAATATGGACGGTGTTGAAGTTTGACAAGAACAGAACTCTGAAGAGGGCTGTGGGCTGTAGCTTAAAATTCCAGCTTTAGAGTTTGTTTGCACATCCCCTTTGCTACATTACAGGTCAGTGTTTGGTACAAATCAATAAGCGCACCAGTCCATGCCAAGTACCCTGCTAAATACTCGCCACAAGCCCATGATGTTTGAGGAGGTTTCAAAAAGTTCATGGGAAAATGAAATGAAAATGTGAATTGAGTGAAGATTACAGAGCAGCTCATCGGTCCCACATTCAACAAATCATACACTTATCACTTACATTTTATAGTTACCAAAACTGCAGCTTTCAGAGCAGTGGAGACAGTTTGATCCTAGAGGTCAAACTGTGATCTACCCACTGTCCTTTCCACTCTGCCTCTCGTGGCCCAATGTTCCTACCGAATTCTTGCTGCTTAACTGGACCGTGCCTCTAAGCAGAACTTGGAAGGAGGAATTCCTGGTCTCTCTGCCTGGATCACTCCTTTCCTCCCCTTCTCCAGAGCCCCAGGTTTGCTTGGTCTCCTTACCCTGCCCCAGAATGTAAGCTTCTTAGAGACAGACTTTGATTCGTTGGCTGAATCTCCACTCCTAATACAAAAAGAGAGGCTCCATAAATTTATCTTAAATGAAAGAGTGGGACTGAAGAACTGGTTAGAGAAATAATTGATAAGTAGTGTGGCTTTAGCAATGGTGGATATTTACTGAATCCTGCCCTTCAATTTCTTGCTTTGTGCACAAATAAAAAATGGCTCCATTGTGTCTGTTGGCAGAATTGAAGAGCTAGTGGGATGCCTTTGTAATTGTAGCAGCAAGAGCCTTCAATTTCCCCTGCTTTTTCTGTTCCAGATGAGACAGAAGGACCCAGTGAAAGGAATGACAGCGGATGACTAAAGCCACACACCCCCTTCTGCACTGTATGTACTGCGTTTTCACTGTACTTGCCACAGAAGCTAAAGTCAGTTTTGAGCCCTCAGAGCCTAATTACTCTATGTGGAGTCAAAAACTTACTTCATTCCTCATCCTTCCCTCTAGTAATGATGCTGACTGCCACACTTTTGTTTTAAGTCCCATTGATGAAAGAGATTCTGAGTTTTAGGACATTTTAGGGACCTACTGTTTTACAAAGGACTGCCTAGGGTGGTGAAAATGGGAATGAGAGGCATGCAAATAGAGCCCAAGCTTAATTCCTCCTCTAGTCTTGCAACTTGAGTCATTTCAGATTGAAGCTGGCACATCTATACTTCTCCTGTTAGAGATCATTCCTAATTCCCAAATGCTGATATATCCTGCCTGCTCTTGGGAAACTTGCTGAACAGATAACTTTTCTTAGCTCTGTCTCTTCCTCCTCTCCAACCACAGACCCCGGATCCCATACTCCATACTAAGTACTGTCCTCATCAGAGAGGCAGCATCTTTCCTATGCTGGGAGGGTGTTTCTGCCCCGGCTTTGGAAGCAGGCTGGGGTGTTCCTTATTTCAGGTGGTTATTCCTTGCCCAGTGGCCTGCACAACTTCAGCCTCGCTGTTCCCTGCAGCTAGAGTGGTCCTGGTCATAGAATGAAAAACCTAGCCTTGGGAGTCAGGAGACTATGATGAGCAGATTGTTGCCAGCCAGCTTCTCAGTCACTCTTTGGGCTTTAGTGTCAACCCTCACCCCCAGCTTCCCACTGACTGGCATCCTTCCTCCTTTTGGCATTCTCCCGGAAAAGGTGATTTACAGTGGGTTTCAGTTTTTTCCCCTGTTGCTTCCTTAATAGTTATATTATTTCTCTTCTAGTTTTGCAAGACAGTGGTGAACAGGAAGGCCCAGCAGCTCCACCCTCCAGAGTGACCGGCCATCTTCGGACGCAGCCTTTCTGTGCCCATTCTTCAGGCAACTTTCAGTCCCTCACTGTAGCTAATCCTAGATGCCCTTTACTGTTGTGAACAAATAGACCGTCTGGTATTATGAAGCCCATGTGTGCGGGAGCCTGCTGCTCTGAGATATGTGGCGTACAGGTTGCTGTATTTACAGCTCCTCCCTCTCTCCATTGTATTCCCGCCCATTTCAGTGTGTTCTCCCCCCTCCCTCCCAACTTTATTTCCAAGTGACATTTTTAGTCTTTCAAAATAGCTGCCTTTTGTGATGTGGTGATTTAAATGATTTTGTTTGTTTTCAATCTTGGGATAAACGAGGTAATTTGCTTCCTGGGCAGATCTTTGCAGTTTTGAGTACACACCTTGAGAGAGGGGATGAGTTAGAAATGCGGCATTCTTCCCTTTCCCAGTTCCACAGACTGGTAATACGGTTCATCCTAACTCTGACTTTCATTCCCACTAACCTATTGTTCGAGTCCTCTAGGCACCAAGGGGGCACTTCAGGCCCAGCCAGTGTCTATTTAAGGTTTAACAAATGCCAATAACCCTAGCCCCAGGCAGATACCTATGGCTTCTCAGTCCTCCTGTTACTCACTCTTCTGAACGTCTCCACAGAGCCAGTTTCTCCAAAGTGGAGAAACGTCCAGTTTGGCCCTTAGAATTGAGTCTGCCCCATGTGTACTCATCACTAACCCCTCCTGAGGAGCTCTGTATACCCACACTCCTCTTCCCTTTTGGGCTGGTGCTGCCACTCAGCAATAATCCTCTTTCCTCTGTGCTTTCTTAGTTCCCTGTCCTCGGTCTTTGAGGCTTATCTCATGCTGCACAGAATGAGCATGCAAAAAGCTTCCTTCCCAGCAGAAACTTGTTTTCACCTGTCTCCATCATTGCTGGAAAGGAATTTTGGGGGCAAGGACTCAGCTCCTCCTGCCCCCATGCTGACTTCTGTCCCTGACAATCAAATGCAGGTAGAGACTGTAGCACAGAGCTCTACCAAAGGAGGCTGGAGAGGGAGTCCAGGCTCCAGGTGAGTGGAACCTGGAGTGGGTCTGCTTGTGGGGAGAGTCCGAGATAGCTGTGGTATCACCTGGCACTTCTCTCCCAAACCTGGTGAAGTGTGTTGGCCCGAGTCCAGGCGCATGCTAGCCTGCATGCAACTGTTAATGAGAGTGATGGACTCTCTATAGGAGGAGTGAGCTGGGATTATTTATCTTTGTTTTTGTCGGTTTGCTTTGCCTTACTCATTTCTAAGTGCAATAAGGGAGTGTCTCACAGGATTGCACCTGTAACACCCTGCTGGAGCCAGGTAGCTTATGGAGCCAGGGTGGACAGACCCAGATCCCTCAGGGTGGTTAGCTCTGACTTTCATTGAGGCCCCTTTGGGACCAGATGTCCTGTACAGACATCTTTTTCTTTCTTACTCTCCTCACCTTATGGAGTCTGTAGTATTGGATCTGAGACACTGGGACGTTTCCCTTGGTTATTAGCATCCCAATTGCTGGTAGCATTTGTGTGACTGGGAAGTTGGAGAAGAGACATTCCTACTGGAGAAAAATGTTTCCCTACAAGCTGTTTTAGCGGTTATATTTGTGCTTAAAGAGTTCCCCTCTTCATTCACTAGGTAAAATTCAGGTGTGTGTTCTCCTAAGAGAAACAAACTGATACTCTAAGCAGACAGTTGTGTGGTGTGAGGATTAGCAGATAGCTTCTTCCTTGGCCTCTTTGAGGTCACACATATCACTTCAGCACTAGTGAAGGCTTTTTCTTTAGCTGCCTTTTCTCAGGCTCTTATCACCTTGCCCCAGTCTGACCTGGAATAAAAGCACCTACATGAACTGAGCTAGTTTCCTTAGGTCAGCTTGGATCTTGTGTTCCTGCCCACATAAGTAAGTCCCTGGTTCATTCACTCCATCCTTACGGGGTGGTATTACTGCTGGGCAACAGTCTTGGCCTCTTTTAAGTACATCCTTCCCTCCTCACCCACTCCTCAAACCAAGTAGCAAAGCTCCAGGGGTATTACCCAGGATGTGGCCACACCCCTTCAGACCAGCTGGTTCCATTAGATTTCTAGGAACATAGCCCTGTCTGGAAGCAGCAGTACCTCTATAGAGGGGTGCTGGACTCTGACCTCATGAAGAAGGAAGAGGTCGGGGGTAGGATCGGTATTGTGGACACATGTATACCTTCCCAAGTTCTCTCACTGTCCCTGCTAGGGTCCCCTGACTTGTTTTGTTTGGTTCCTAGTGCCACTTTTACAAAATACACTTTGTAGAACTGATTAGATTACCTTGTTTATTTAATGTGAGTTTGTGCCTTTTTGTCTCAATCTTCCAATACAGCTATATTGGGGAAAAAAGCAGTCTAATAAAATTCTAGACAGAGCTCTCTGGAGTCCAGCTTATTGGTGATGTCTTTATGTCCACTTGACAACTTCAATATCCTGAAACTCGCTAATGACCCCTATTTTTCCAAGGAAAGATTAGGGAAAAATACAAGATGTGTCTGAAAATGTGTCAATTTACATATGCAAACATTACATATTTGAGTATAATTTCACTTTTCTTTAGTTGGTGTATTTCCTTTTTGACATTGTGTCTTCTCATCACTATCCCTCTCTACCAAGTAAAGCATGAGTTCTTAACCTGGCTTCTGGGATCTGTGAGCCTCCTAAGGCTTGTTTGTAAAATTGTGTGTGCGTTTTTCTGGGGAGAGTCATGTCTCATCAGTCTGAGAAATCCCATGCTTCCCCCTCCCTCCAAAATGCGTAAGGACCATTAATTTGAAGGAAATCAATAGATATTTGGCAAAACAATCATTTCACCTGTCTTGTAAAATAAAGGCGCTGGTTTTTCATTCATTGGTGGTTAATTTTCAAGAATCCACGAATCTGATAATATCCCGTGTGTAATAAAGATTGAAGACACTCAAAAGTGTAACTAGAGAAGAAAAACGAAGTAGACGAACCGGATTATCAGCGTTTTAAACAGGGAAACTAGTTGGTGAGGCTAGACTACCTCTCACCTTCATTTGAGTCTCTGGGCGTTGGGGAACTAAAGGAAACGCAGCGCCCAGGTGGAGCGACTTGAGATTCTTCATTAGCGAAATGGGAGGCCCAGGGACGGCTAAAGGATGATCGTGCGGGCTTGTCGACCGTTCCGCCGGAAGACGATCCCAGTCACCCTCGCGCACGGCGTTGTGGGAGTTGTGGATTGCGGAGGAAGATGCGTTAGGGCGTTGCCGTGTACCACACCCGTAAACTGGGTGGGGCACTGTTGTGTCGTGTTCTGATGACAAAGGACACGCCTCCTTACGTCCCATAGTCCCTCTCCCGTCAACCACTGTTTCGCGCTCGTCAAAGAGTCCCACCTCTTTCCTCCAGCCCCGCCATTCAGAGCCCTCCTGCGCTCAAGGCCCGCCTCTTACGGAAGCCTAGACGGACGTTCTGAATCCGGAAGAAAAACACCGGGGCTAGAGTGAGTTCTTCAAGACCTGACACCCGCAAAGCTGATTGTGCCTGGAAGGCGTAGAGTTGGGGAGCTTGGAGCCTGCTGCGCCACTGCGTGTGGATGATGGCGGCCGTGGACCTGCGGAAGTCGACCGAGTCGAGAGGCCAGAAGCTCAGGTGAGGAAGGTGACTGCCGGCAGGCCTGCTTTGGGCGGTGTCACGCCCTTTCACCCTGTGGGAGCTACATCTGGGGGCGGATCCAGACTGGGAGAGAAGGGGCTGGGCTTACTGGTTGCTTCTGGTTTAGAGATGGTCAGTTTAACATCCAACCGCTTCTCTGATAAATGCCTCCCTCCTAAACTCTTCCAGGCCATTGTCGTTGGGACTGTATTGGACCTCGAACCCCTAGCCCACTCTAAACTCACGCTTCCGAGTTCATTCTCACTGGGGCACCCCAAGCAAGTGTCTCAGTTGACCTTTAATCTGTTTGAAGTTAAAGGCAGCAAGGCATTCTTTCTTCACCCATAGAGTTGAAATTTTGCCCCAACATTTGATCAACACATACCTCATGAGGTCTGCCTAATCTGTTTATGACCATCTGAAATCTGTCATCAGATTTTGCTAAGATCCTTTATTGAAGTAATATAGCCTAGACCTATGCCTGTTCCTTACCAAGGAGTAACTCTAATCATTAATTTGGTGGAAGTCACAATGTAAGGATTTGCTGCTAATTGTCGGACCTGAGAATTGGTGTAGGAAATCCTAAACTTTGCTCTTGTTCCACTCAGAACAAGATACTAGTAAAACAAGGAGCCTTTAAATTCAAAGGTTGCCCTTCTAAATCCTCTGCTGGACAGCAGGGGGAGATCGTAAACAAATGTAACAAGTAATGTCAGGCTAAGTGCCTGAGAAGGTGGTTTGTGTTCATAGGGAGGGGCAGGAAGTTGCTTTAAGCAGCTCTAAGGATTTCTTCCAAGCATGCTTTTTAGGACTAAACCTCCAAGAACAGGCACCTAAAAAGATATGTTTGGGGACATCCTGCCCTTTTCTCCCACTTCTCCACCCCCCTGTACCCCTCCTTCCCTTTCTAGGTCTACAGGTGCTGCAGGTTCTACTCCTGATGTGGATTCTAGAATTCATACAAGGCTTGGTGGGTTCTAAAGGTTTGCAGCTGCTGCCTGCTCTGTACACAGCCTCATGGGCGAGTTTCTGTGGCAGTTCAGTTAGGGAGATCGATCACCAAGTCTCTGGTTTCCCAGAACCTCTGATGGGATCCAGTGCCACTGAAAGCTGTTGACACAGTGCGTGTGGCTTTCTTCAGGTTTGTTGGAAGTTGATATGTAAAATGTTATACAGATGATGACTTTCCAAAGGAAGCTAGACTCGTTACAGTTAAGAAATGAATTAGAAGTTTCTCTTTAGACCCTCTTGCAGTGCTTCATAGAGTTGCTTGTGCCCTAAGGACCTGCTCGGAAGCAGTGAGGAAGGGACTGTGGTAGTGTTATTTATATCCATTCAGTGCTGAGGCCTCTCACCAGATGAAAATGGAGCCTCCAAGATCTTCCTGGTAATTTCAGGAGCCATTGGGCTGAGAAAGTGCAGATGGGGAGTTGCTACCCTGTCCAAACCGTAATTAATAGGGTTTGAATGGCTGATGGAGCTAATGGAATCAGTAAGTTCCTATCTCTACCCATGCCTGACCCTGACCTTGTGCTCCCTAGCAACTCTACTGGTGTAAGCAATACCAGGACTTCGAGGTGTAAGCAGCTGTAGGTACGCATGGAGGAGCCTCCATAGTCAGGGTTTGCTGTCTGTTGCCCCTCTTCCCACTGCCAGATGCAGACTCTCATATCCCTCTTTACAACTACATTTGATTGTGGTGCAGCCCTTAGCAGGCCTTGACCAGCTTCCTACACATGTTACTTGGAAAATGTCTTATTCTCCTTCCATGACCTACCTTTGCATCCCTTTCACAGCATACATGTTGTGACATGGAATGTAGCCTCTGCAGCACCCCCTCTAGACCTCAATGACCTGCTTCAGCTGAACAACCAGAACCTGAATCTGGACATATATGTCATTGGGTAGGTGTCTACAGGGCCCCTTCTCCCATCCCTAATTCTGAGATCAGGTGAGCCCAATCTGTCCCATGTTGTGCCTTTGGGGAACCACTGTAACCTTTTCTCACTCACTGTAGAATCTGAGAGCTCAGAGCGTTCAGCCTGTACTGGGCCTGCTTCAGTGTCTCTTGTCCTGGGTCAGCAATGGCCAGGGGAGGGAGAAATCATGATCATCAAAACCCAGGGCTTAAAAGTCTGGTGAGGGCAGGACTCAGTGTGGCAGTGGCAGTACCCTCCCAGCCAGGGGTCGATCCTCTGATCTGGGGTGGTCAGTTTGCAGGAAATGAACTGTGGGATCATGAGCCTTCTTTCTGACACTGCCTTTGAAGACCCATGGAGCAGTTTCTTCATGGATGTGCTTTCCCCTCTGAGCTTCATCAAGGTAACTTACAACGTGCGACGGTGAAATGTGTCCCATCTCTTGTCACTACGCCCCAATCACTTGATCTCATGTGCTCCTCTGAATTGCTACTTGGGCTTTCATGCTGCTCCCATTTAGTTAAAGGTTTAAATCTCAGTTTCACTTGGCTCCCCATGGTTCCTGCCTGCCTTCTGACTTTTCAAAGTAGCTGGAGGTGAGTAGGACCCAAGGGGCTAGTTTAATACTCTGATATTTTTCAGGTTGGGAGGATTCCTAGGGGAGTTTCAGCAAAGCTTGTTAAACACCACAGTGCCTTCCCTACCCCCTAGTCTGAAATCTCTGAGTAAAATAATAATTCCTGCCGTTTATCAGATGCTTGCTTTGTGATAGCCACCATAAGCAAGCTCTTTACATACAGACATTATTTTAAAAGCTTAACAACTATTTTGAGATAGGGACATTTTTCAGATAACCAAGACTCTGGGAGTACATGCCTACGGTTATACACACTATCTGGTATTTTAATCCAGATCTTTCAAACTTTATAACCTATATAACTACTTTAAGGCCAGCAGGTATCCCATTGGTAGCTTACTGGTATCAATTTCCCAGGGACCCAAAGTTAGATGAAGGGAGATAGGTCTGGAGGAAAGGGTTCTCAGGCTGAGGGACCAGTATACTCCGGGGAGCCTTTAGACCGCAGGATGGCTCTAGGTTGATGGCTCTTCTCTTTGTTTCTGCCCTGCACATTAGAGAGATGAAACACATTCCCATTCAGTACTCCTAGTAGGGTACTTCTTGGAGACCCAGAATTCCCTGTTCCCTTCCCTAAGTGAACACTCAAAATCCCATTACACTATTTGCTTGAGTACAAAACTAGGACGAGGAAACACAAGATTTCGTCTTGCTGATGAGATGAGAAACTGCCAATCTCTGAGCCTTTGACTCCCTCCAATTCAAACTCTGACGCCTTTTCCTGTGGACTTGGAGCTAGATCATCTGGGGAGGGCAGAGCCACTTCTCCCTCACCGCCTACTCCCCTCCCAGGGCTGCAGGCCTCCGTATGCTTTGGCTGCAGGCTGGCAGCAGATTGGTAGAAGGGAACTGAGCCAAGGAAATTAGCTCAGCTGTAGCAGGAACACAGTGGCCTCCTGAGTTTGGAGGGCCAGTCTCAGGTCCAGGAGCCTATAGCACATGCGCTTCCTTCCTGTGACCAAGAAAGGAGAACCTGTTGCAGCCTGTCCTTTGGGTGTGGACTGGCCAGCCATAGGTTGAAAAGCTTGCTGCGGACCTCTTTGCCTGCTCTTAGACTCCCGTCTTCCTTAGCGCCTCCTACTTCATCTCCTTCTACTGGAATGTCCCCTAGAAATAGCCTGCCTTCCTCAAGGCCCTACTGTTTTCTCCCAATCTGGTCTTGCCCTGATCCCAGCCCCATCCTCCATCCTCTGCCCCTGCTCCTTCACAGAACAGACTAGTGCCTTTATGGAAGAGTTTGGTATCCCAAACCTGCTCTATGGGATAAGGAGCAAGTGTGAAACTCTACACACTTGTGTAGAGTCCTGACTAGTTCCCTACCTCATGTCCCACCTCTTCTTCCACTTCCTTTGTCATATGAGACTGTGAATGGGAGGAAAAGAAAACAGGAGCGGGGGAGGATACATTTTTTAATAGTCTCACCCAATCCCAGATTCTGCTGCCTCCCTCATTCAGTCCTGGGTTTGGGGTTCCCCCTGCTTTGACTCCTCTACTGTGCCAGGATTCCCTGGCCTGTAGGATCAGGTTTCATAATTCCTGGAAGGCCCCGGTACACTCTCCCCACCCGGGGATTTCCTCCTTGGCCTCTGCACCTCATGCTCCGGAAATAGCTGCTCAAGTGGTGGGTGTAGACAGTCTGAACCTAGAAGAGAGGGTCACTGGCCACAGCCCATCCCCCCATGCCCCATGGCCTCAAACAGTGAGAATGTGGGCTATCCCAGTCCTCTGCTGCCACTCTCCAGGTTAGCCTACCAGTTCCTTCACCTCCCTGATCCTCAGCGCCCTCATCTATAAAAGGGACAGTGATTCCTGCTGGGTTGGCTTGGGAAATTAAATGAGATCATTTCAGTAGGTGTTAGTTAGCGTGCCAGTTTGCGAACATGTGTCCTCTACTCACTGTTGTCCCCTCTGCATTGCCTTCACACACATCCAACTGCCCACCCAAAACAAAGCCCACCACCACTGAGTCAGTTCCAGCTGGGACCTTAGAGTGACCAGAGAGGACAGAGTAGAATTGCCCCAGAGACTTTCCTAAGCTCAATCTAAAGTAGACAGCTTCATCTTTCTCTCATGGGGTGACTGGTAGGTTGGAACTTGGACCTCTCAGTTAATAGCTCAGTACTTAACCCACAGCACCACCAGGGCTCACTCCTCTTGGAGGTGGGGGGGGAGCTTTATTTAAAGTGTACAAATACTTTGATAGATTTTTGCATATGCACATGGCCCATGTTACCACCATCCAAATGAAGACATAGAACATTTCCAGCAACTAGAAGGCTTCCTCATATCTTTTCCCTGCATTGACTTTGAAGAATCCTAAATAACAAAATAAATGACTACCAATTAATCACAAGGCCTATGCAATTTTATTCCTCTTTACAAAGAGAAGATAGAATGAGAAACGTGCTCAATATCAAAGACTGAGTCACAGCCAGGATTTGAACCCAGCCCTGGCTAACTTCAAAGGCTCCTTAACACTTCTGAGTAGCCACATTTCTCCTTGAGGCCCTGCCAGCGTGGTAGCAGCTCAAGAGGATCTCAGTAAGGCATTCCTAGGGCATGGTGTCCTGGCAGCCTGTTCCTCTCTCCCCTCCTTCCCAGTCCAGTGCCCAGAATGCAGGATTTGGCAGCTAAGGAAATGAAAGGAATGAAATGGGGAGGCCTAACCAGGATAGTATAGACCCTGGGGCAGGATCCTGGAACAGGGTGCTGTGTGTCTCAGGGCTCTCTAATACCCCCAACATTGGGCCTGGCAGAGACACACTCAGCCCGTGAAGTTCACTGATTGACCATTGCCCCCCATTCTCCTGCAGATCTCCTGTGTCCGTATGCAGGGGCTCCTCCTACTGGTCTTTGCCAAGCGTCAGCATTTGCCCTTTATCCAGATCCTCTCTACCAGATCTACCCCCACTGGCTTCTATGGGTACTGGGTAAGGACTGAGCTGTGGTCTGAGTCATGCGCTGGGAAGACCTCCTGTCCCTGAGCTGGGGAGGACTGGATGCTTTGGGGCTAGGCAAATGAGCATATGAGTGAAATGAACCTTAGTCCTCTGTCTAGGCTAGAGTCCCACAAACTCAGCCTCCCACCTCAGAGGGAGCTTAGTAGCCCTGAGATCTTCACTGGGCAATCTGGGTTCTGGGTGGAGGGAGCGATTACCCTGAGAGACACTGTCTCTCCTGGCAGGGACCTTGAGGGTGGGGGTGGGGTGAGATCATCTCTCCTCAGGCCTAGGATGGGATAAGGGGGGTGTGTCCAACCCAGCACAGCTTCCAGCCCTTCTGCCCACCTGTCCTACCAGGGGAACAAAGGGGGAGTCACCATCTGCCTGAAGCTCTATGGCTATTATATCAGCATCATCAACTGCCACCTGCCCCCTCACCTGGCCAACAATGACCAGCGGCTGGAGCACTTTGACCGGATCCTGGAGATGCAAAACTTTGAGGGACGTGATATCCCCAACATTCTGGACCATGAGTGAGCATGGAGCTACAAACTGCCACCTCTGCCCTCTCCTCTACACCAACCTGGGCTGGTACCCTCTCCCCACTCACAGTCCCAGCCAGATTTCAGCTTGTGCTCTATGCCCACCCTCTCCCAGCCCCTTCCTGATGCCCAGTCAGCCTTCCTACTCAGCCTTGTCTGCCTGGGCTCTGGGACCCCCTTACCTTACTCTAACCTTTCTCTACTGGCTAGACACCATCGTGGATTCAAACCTGAACCTCCCAGGTCAGGATCCTTGTGGTTTCTGAGGTCACCTCCCTGGTGGCCAGTTGAGGGAGAGGGAGGAAAAGCTACACCTTGCTCCCTGGGCTGGGCTCTTTGACTTTTGAATAGTGGTGTAAGAGCTATGACGACAGTCCCATCGAGTTCTCCTCCTCGCTCTGGCTTCTCACCTGCCCCCCTGGAGCTTTCCCATCTCTAACAGCCCCTGGGATGAGCAGGTTGGAGCTACCTGTTGCTCCTCCCTTCTCTGACTTCATCATCAACCATCAGGCTGCCCTCTTTTCTTTCTGAAGCCTCATTCTCTGGTTTGGAGACATGAACTTTCGAATTGAAGACTTTGGGTTGCACTTTGTTCGGGAATCCATAAAACACCAGTACTACAGGGAGCTGTGGGAGAAGGATCAGGTATGGATTGACGGGAGCCGTGGTCTTCTGACAGGATGGGTGGGGAGAATGGTTTAAATTCCTTGGTGGTGGTTCTTTCTGAGCCTCAGAAGTCCCTATTCCAGGCAAGGAAGAGTCTGACATGGCTTCATACTGGAAGGTGGGACAGCCAGTCCTACCAGGGCCTGGTCTTCACCTGGAGGAGCTGGGGTGCAGCTGCTACATGTGTTTCAAATGGAGAGTGAGAAGGCCTTTGGTCCACCACACAGGCCAGCATCCTCCTCCTCTGTCTCTCTGCCTTCAAGCAGCCAATTGCCTGGTTCTTGAGCTGTTAAATGGCCACCTGGTCATGTCGTCTTTCCCATCCCCATGCTTGCCTCCTGGAGGACAAGATAACACCCCTTTGCAGAGGGGCTTTGGTTGCCCCAGCTTTCTTCCCTCTGACACTTGTCTGCTAGTGGCTCCTAGAAAGATGACAATCAAAGCCTGATCCCTAGTATTCAGGACTGGGAAATGGTAGGCAGCTGCCTCCCCTGGGACTATGGGGTAATGTTTCCAAAAGGATCCAGCTGTTGACTGGAGGTGAGGAAGAGGGGCTGAGGCTGCCACTGGGGGAGTGACATTGCTTGACTCTTGCCTCATTCGTGATGGCATGTGTGACCCCTTGACTGGAGTATGGCGCTTTGCCATGGGGTCAGGCAGGACTATTGGGAGATGGCAACTGTGCTTTTTTCTACAGCTCAGCATTGCCAAGAAACATGACCCACTGCTCCGGGAGTTCCAGGAGGGCGCCCTGCTCTTCCCACCAACCTACAAATTTGATAGGAACTCTAACAACTATGACACCAGGTGAGGAGGCCCTGCCAGGAAATGCTCAGCCTGCCGTGATCTGGAGGAGGGACTGGGCCTGTTAATGATAAGGGCAAGGAGGCCCAGGAAATCAGGTTGTATCAGCCCTTGGGGCATTGGGAGGTACCTCAGTACCTCAGAAGCAAAGTGTTAGGGAAGCAAGAATAGATAATAGCCATCAATCACCTTTCTGGAATGGTGCCTCCTGTTCCCCATGAGATGCTGCCTGTGGGAGCTGTTTCAGGACAGGAAGCTGCTATTGGCAAGGGCAGGTGGAATCAGCTGACTCTTGTCTTTGGAGGTGCTGCACTTGAGCATCCTGGGAACTCCTGTCTCCACTTCATAGGGCTGTTTGGCACCCAGACAGAGGCAAAAAGCTCATCTCAGCCAGATAGAGATTATTACATTTCCCTGCCCTGACCTGTCAGTGGAAGGATGAGTACTGGTCAATGAAAACCTTGGTTGGGACAACACAGAGATAGTGCATCTGGTAGTTAGCACAACTCTGTGCCTCATTAGTATGACTTTGGGCAAGGTATTTAAGCCTCAGTTTTGTCATCTGTAAAATGGGGATGATAACCAATACCCACCTCATGGGGCTGACAGTTGAATGAGACTTGCGTGTGCTTAGCCCAGTGCCTGGCACCATTAAATACTCCTGGTAACTGTTGTTATTACTTTTAAATTCATGTCTTCAGATAGTAGTTTCACTGAACACCTGTCTAAGAAGCTGAGAAGGAACGGGGTAACCACTAACACTGCACTTTAGGCAAGAGGACAAAAGCAACAGGTCCGTGACTCAGTTTAGGGCAAGGACCATAATCTCTGTGAAGCCAAAGAAGAATCCCTGCTTCTTCTCAGCAGGACTGTCTTAGGAAGGTGGTGCTTATACGGCTGCCCAGGCCTCTGAGCGTTTAGAGAAGAGTAGGTACCCCCACAACCAGGTCAGAATGAGAGCTGGAACTACAGAACTGGTGGTAGAAGTGGTATGACAGAGCCAAAAGGTCCCCACCAACCAAGGGGAAGAGGGTGAGTCATTTCCAGAGTGTGGAACATGATAGGTGGGATCATGGCCAGGGCTGTCCACACAGGCGACAGTAAGCACTGGAGACAGGACCCAGCCTGAGCCCGAGAGCAGGCAGAAAGGAGGTGAGAGGGCAGGCTGTGACTGGCCCAGGTCCACAACCAGCCATCCGAAATAAGAGCCTCCAGGGGACAGACTAGAGCCTTGGATCTGGTACTCTTGACCAACTGACTTCTAAAACTCATTTGCAGCAGGAAGAAAGCTGATGACGAGCCATAGGGACAGCTGTCCCTTTTCCATGGAATGTGATAGGGAAATCATGAAGACTGGACAGCTGATATAAACAGCTGGGTCTGGACTGGAGTTGGTAGAGAAGCTGAGAGGTGAAGGGGCTTCCCCAGGTAGCTCAGCTAGGGAGTGGTAGAGCTGAGGCTGACACTTGAGTCTCTGGACTCAGTGGCCAACAGGCCCTTGGAACTCACAGCCAGTCTGCCAGCTGCAGCAAAGAGGAGGGCAAGACCGAGACAGCAAGCACTCCCCAAGGAGGAGACAGATGCCAGTTTCTGCACAGTCGCTCATTGTGACTGCTCATTGTGACTGCCGTTATTGAGACTTACCGTGTGCCACGCATCGTGCAAAGGGCTTTCCGTGCATCTTTTACTTAATTCTTACCACACTTAACCACATCCCCATTCAGTAAACACTGTTACTATTTGACTTCCTAGAAACAAAGAGACTGAATTATCAGAGAATGTAGGCAAACAAATAGGAACAGTAACTAACTGATCCAGCAAGAATTTGAACTCAGTCTGTACGGCTCCAGTCTCCTGAGCTTTCAGTACCACTTCCCTTTGCCCAGAGCCCAGGAAATAAAAGACATGTCTGGACAGAAGGGGACACTATATGGCGTGGGGGTGGGGAAAACATCAAAACTAAAATACTCTGGGCTGGAGCCAGGGACCTTGAGGCAGCTGGGCGTTCCTGCAGCCAGTAGGGCCTGAGCCCTACAAATGGAACAGAGACATTCCTGTCTAATCAAGTTGGTATTCATCCTTAAAAACCCAGTTCAGGTGGCCTCTCTGCTGGGAAGCCAGCCTCCCCTAATGTCACTGACAATGAGCCCCTCTCCTGCCCTTTCCACAGCCTCCACACCTCACACCCCTGTGAGCCCAGCACTTCCTTGAAGACTCAGTACGCTGTTCTCGCTGCACTCTGAACGCCTGCAGAGCAGAAGTGGTCTGGTTTATGACCACGGCGGTATTGTAGCACAGCGTCTGATACGTGTTTGATTGAAAGGGGAACCTAAGAGGACAAAAGGAGAAGACACTTGTTTTAGAACAGCCAGCCAGGCTAGTAGATGGACCCACTCATGGCAAGTGGTCCCAATAAACACTCTCACTCGCCAACCCAGGAGGTGGCCAGTAGAAGGTTCCTCGAACTTGGTGTGGAAATGCGGAAGGAAGTTGGAGCAGGTGGGCAGCCGGAACTAGCAGGACTCAGAGCTGCCATCATGAGGAGTATCTTGAAGGAGGCAACAGTTTTTCAGAAAGGAGCCAGGCAGCTATTCCAATCAGTCAGCAGCATTGAGAGGGGAGGTACCTTGAGTGTGTAGCATAACCCCGCCAGGCACCTGGCTGTCCCTGTTGCACAGTGAGGCAACGTGTGTACAGGGCACAGTGCACGCTTTGTTCAGCCACCAGCGTGTCCCCAAGCCAAGATGTAATGAGAAACGGGATCAGCTCCATGACAAGGGCAGGTGAAAGGGCTGAGGGTGGGAAACCCTGTTAAAGTCAGGAGGGTTTTATTACAGTTGAAGTTAGTGAGCCCAGTTAATCTCTCTGTCCAGCAGTGAGTGAGCAGAGAAGGAGGTATTATGATCAATCTGACAGGTTCACCACGGTTTAGAGTTCACTGAGACATAAGACCAGTTCTCATCTATGAGGAGCCGAAGGGAAAAATACCTTCAGACCCAGAAATTAAATGTGTCACTACTTTGAGGTCAGCAAATTCACTCAGTGTTCTAGAATCTTGTATTCCGGCTCCTAGCAACCCTACTTGGCTGTAATCTTTTTAAAAGTAGAAAGCATACTGATTCATTTTCATCAACAACTCTTACACTAAATTCTCTCTATCCAGCCAGAAAGCATTAGCAAGGCCCTCCTCATTGATGATGCACACTGCACACTATAAGGCAGGGTTTTTTGTCTGTTTTTTAACATTTAAAAAATTTATTTAAAGAAGATACAGATTGATTACACATTTGACAAACTGCAAGGGTCATTTCTGACTGGAGGGAAAAAAACAGCCAGACATGCAGCGAAGCAGAATTCTTCTTTCTTGTGGGGCTGGTTTATGACACATTTGGGCCATACTGCTGGATTCTCTCTCAAGTTATAATGTAAATGCTTATGTTTAAAAATGTGAAAGATATAAGGCAGTTCTTGCTGCCATGATGAATTATCGATGGGACAAGTTGGAGGGGACAGTGGGAGCAACAAGGACTTCATAGTCAGCCGCCTGGCTCCCACCTGACAGGGCACCACTCAGAGTCTCAGTGTCCGCCTGTGGCAGAAAATGTGACCTGGCCTGCAGAGTTAGCATAGTCTGTACAGCGCCGCTCATCTTGCCTGGCCCACGGAACCTGGGTTCCAGCCATTAAAAATGGGAATACAGGAGAAAATCTTTTAATTTGTACATATTTATTTTGCTTGTTTGTTTCTTGTCTTTTGTGTATCAGATGTGTCTTATGAATCCTGTTCATCTTATCCTCAGTTGTCCTGTCATAATACAAACCACTGCTGTGGGGGCCTTTGCAACTCCTCACCACCCGTTTGAGCAGAGTACAACTGCTTCGTAGAGCAGCTGCTTGATTCGAACTCCTTGGTCTTGTGGTTAGCAGTTCAGTGCTTAACCCCAGCACCACAAGGGCCCCTTGTACATAATAAGGGCTCAGTAAATCACAGTACAGATGCCCAATGATGAGTCTAGACTAGGGAGTGAAAAAGAAAGAAAGTGGACAGTCTGAGATGTATGCTGGAAGGAAGGAGGAGGACAGGTCAGGAAATTGGGAAGGACCCTAAGGAGACAGCAGCTGTGGGCTCTTAACCATAGTAGGGAAGTTGGTGAGGAGAATGCTTTGAAAGAGAATGGTGCATTCCTTATGTGACCTCTGCTTCAAACATTGCTAGTCCCTGAAGTCCAGTGTGAGTTCAAGGAATCCAGTATCTGTCACCATGTGGGGTGGAAATACCATATTCAGATGCTCTCAGATGAGTGAAAGTTTGGAAACTACCCCAGTAGCCCACACACAGGGAGTGGTTTAGCCAGAGTTACCATTTCTTGACCACACCCTTGACGCACCTTAATTGCTCTTTGAAGTAAGTACTGATATCACTCCATCTTACAGTTAAAGAAAGTGTGGTTTAGAGAGCTGAGGTCACTTGCCTGATGGCACTTAGCTCCTAATTAATAGGCAGGACCTTCCCCCTTGTGGCAGAGTTCACCACCTTGATGTCATGCTGCCTCCATCACTGAGATACTACGTTGCTGTTGCTGAAGTGACAATATATTCTCCTAGGTCTCCATTTCTAATTGCTGAAAACCAGGTCCTATGTGCCAGGCAGGATGAGAGGTGCCTCTCAGACTACGCTAGTCCTGCAGGCCAGGTCACATTTTTCTGTGTCAGAAGGAGTTAAAGTAGGAATTTAATGAAATAGAAGATGAAAGTAATATTTCAAACTGATTACAAGTTTAGGAATCTGTACACATTAAGACCAGGTGGGCCCTTTTGAGTCGATAGATTGAGCTTGGGGTTTTTTCACTTGCTTGGGTTTTCCAGGCCATTTATTGGGTACCTACTATGTGCCAGGCAGTAGAAAAGATGCGGCTGTCTGTACCCGTAGAGATGTACAGCTTTGGAAGCCCTATATGGCACTGCTATGAGTCGGAACCGACTCGACAGACAGCTGAGGATGCAAGGAGAGTGCAGTGCTTGCCTCCAGAGTTCACACTCTAACTGATACTAGGAAACAGAAAATTACAATAGAAGGTCATTGTGCAAGTACTAGTATAAAATGCTTTGGAAGCAGAAACGGAGGACCCTAGGACCATCAAGAGAGGAATGCACAAATAGGTGCGGGACCTTATCCAAAGAAGCAGCAGTGCCAGAGATGGAGGCAGAGATGGGGGCATGGAGAGGGGGAGCGGCTGAGGACTCTAGATTCATCAACTAAGAAGAGAAGGACTAAGAACTGGTGGCCAGGAGCAGACTTGCAGAATGTGTCCTTTGGAGATGTAAATTATTATATATGCCTGAGTGGGTTTTTTTGTTTGTGTGTTTTTTAAAAGCTAAAGTGGATAGAGAGAAATACTGTTAACTGATGGTATATGGGGGGGGGGGGGTTTATATTCAATGTAATGAAAAAGTTATATGAATTGTTGAATGTGAAACTGATGATGTGCCCTGTAAACTTTCACTCAATTCACAATAAAAACCTTGAATTAAAAAAAAAAAAAATGCTTTGGAAACAGAAAGGTGAGGTTAGAAGCAGCTTTATGACAAAGGTGAGGTTGGAATTGGACCACTGTCAGAAAAAGAAGAGGGTTCCAGGATGCAAAAACCGTAAGAGCAAAGGCCCAGAGACTCGGGAGAGTCACCAAAGTGGGGTGGGTGTGGGGAAGTGTTGGGAGGTACCACAAAAGCCAGACCTAGGGATTTGAACTTAATTCTGGAGGCAGTGAAGGCCCAAAGGTTAAAGTTAAAGTAGTGGTCACCTGATCAAACTTTACTTTTCTTTGGGTTCATTCAAGAAAAGGAAGTCTCTATGAGGAGGGAAAACCCCAGAAACAGTTACTGGTCCTCCCTGTCATCACTTCCAGGACTCAGGACTGATGGTATTCACTTGAAAGGTGGACAGACTTAGAGAAAATCCCTGTAGCTGCTCAGGCAGGGCTGGGTCAGGGGTCAGAGACTTGTCTATCTTTGAGCAACTTAGTTACCTAGAGGAGGAAGGCACTCCTGTCTCCATGGGCCCGCTCCTGCTCCTCAGGGAAGCTGCTAACTGAACAACAAATAGGTTCCAGCTGACTCTTGAGAACAAAGAATCATAGTTGCCAGTGTTTTTGTTTTGTACCAGGTACTATACTGAGCATTTGATGTGCCTTATCTCATTTAATCATCTCAGCAACCCTAAGAGATAACTACTATCATTATCTCCATTTCACAGATGAGGAAACAGTTCTAAAAAGGGTTGGCATGGTGATAAAGAGCATATGCTCTGGGGTCATACTGCCTGGCCTTGACTCCTGGCTCTCTCACTTAATAGCTGTGTGACTTTGGGAAAATTACTTCCCCTTTAAGCCTCAGTTTCTCTACAGGTAAAGAGTGAATAATAACAGAAGCAGTCTTAGGTACAAGGTACCCACTGCCTTCGAGTCAATTCCAACTCATAGTGACCTTACAGCATCGAGTAGGGTTTCCGTGGCTATAAAGCTATGGAATCTATGGATTGTCTCATTTTACTCCCATATGGTGGGTTTGAACTCCTGACCATTCAAGTAGTACAATACTTTACCACTGTACCTCCAGGGTCCCTTTAGGTGCATAGTTGTGTTGTTAAGTGCCATCCAGTCAGTTCCGATTCATAGCGACCCTGTATAGGGTTTCCGAGAAACAACTGGTGAGTTTGAACAGCCGACTTTTGCCGACCACTGCTTAGTCTACAGTGCCACACCGGGACTCCTAGGTACATAGTAAGCACGCTATAATAATACTTTTCTTTTTCCCAAAGCAAGTGTGTATGGGGAAGCCACATTCAGATTCTATCTTTGTATAGATTCGCAAATTTCAAGTCAGTCTTCTTTGCGTTAGTGCTGTTGAGTTCAAGAAAGAGCAAAGCTTTGTAATGGAATGTTTCCGAGTCACCATGTAATCAGCAGGAAGACTGGTGTTAAGGTGTCCCACAAGCTCATGAGGCACCTTCCTGCTCTTAATTCCCATCCTGTCTTCTTCCCTATTCTCTTCTCCGCTCCTAGTGAGAAAAAACGCAAGCCTGCATGGACCGACCGCATCCTATGGAGGTTGAAGCGGCAGCCCCAGACCAGCCTCCACACCCTTAGCCCTCTGGCCCCCCACTTCTCCCTGTGTCTGAGGAGTTACGTCAGCCACATGATGTACTGCATCAGTGACCATAAGCCTGTCACCAGCACCTTTGACTTGGAGGTAAACTTCTAAGCTGCCTGGCACTTGGCACAGGAATAGCCATGCTGGGCCATCTCCCCAAACCCCATCAGCCCTGTACTCTGATGTCAGCTCATCCCCCAGAAAACCTGTAGGGGGCCATGCTAGCCTTTCCCCCAGGTCAGATATCCCAGCTCTTGTTAGGAGCCGTTGATGGCTCTGTCAGAACCGTGTTCATACTCTTCATGAGTAGGTTTCCTTTATCTCTCCATACTTCCCAGGGGCTAATGAGTTCCATTATGTGTATTACCTACTGTGTGAAGCACGACTTTTTTTTCTTTGTTCAAAATTCACCTGGATTGAGTTTCAAAGGGCGCTCTTCCATCCTTGTATATTGCCATCCTAATGTCCAAGGCAGTGGTCACCTTCCTGCTGCTGGCTGTCCATGAGCCTTCACCTTTTCCTACTGGTTGGTCCTTATGCCAGATTTCTAGAGTTTCCGTATGCTCACAAACTTGCATTTGGGCCTTTCGATCAGAAGCCCTAGAGACACAAGAGCAGCCTCTTTCTGAAACCTTTCAGCCACTCCCACCTCACCTCTAAATACTTAGTCCCCATCCTCCCAGGCTGGGCTGGGTACCCCAATAAGCCTTGGCCAGCCAAGGGCTGATACAGTTTAGGACAGCCTAGTGGAGTTCTTTGTCCCCTCCTTGGACTGCCCCTGACACATTAGTGGGTCACAAGGAATGATGTTAAAGGATTTCAACCCCTTCTCACCCCTCTGTGTAGATGAAGCCGTTGGTATCTGTCCCGCTGATCACCCTGATCCCCGAGGGCCTGTGGACTATGGAGAAAGACATGGTGATCAGCTATTCCTTGGCCCCAGACTTCCTCAGCAGCCCCTGGGACTGGATTGGACTGTACAAGGTGATGGGGCTCAGGGATGCAAGGTGTCTCTCAGCTACATGCACCCTAGTGTGTCTTTCCTGGAAGCTAATGGGACCAGGGCAGGGAGACTGAAGAGCTCACCTTTACCCACTCCAGTGGCTTAACCACATTCAGGGGCTGAGGGAGAGGAGGTGGCGTACCCTACTGTGGCTAGTACCAGAAATGACACTGTCTTCTCCTTAGGACTTGCTGTAGGTCCCTTATTCTTCCAGATCATTAACCATTTTGGTCCCCCTTCCCCCTACAGGTGGGGCTGCGCCACATAAATGACTACGTTACCTATGTCTGGGTTGGGGACAACCAGATCTCCATCAATGATGGGCTGAATCAGGTACCTACCCCCTCCTGAGACAGGTGTTCCATGTCTCAGGACGTTTCTGTCTTCTAGAACAGGGGGCTGGTTGGGGCCCAGGATCGTGAAACTGACCCCATTCCTTTCCATTCTCCACCCCATTCCTAGGTGTATGTCAACACCACTGACATTCCTGAGACTGAGGATGAGTTTCTCCTCTGTTACTACAGCAACCATCTACATTCTGTGGTGGGGATAAGCAAACCCTTCCAGGTAAGGGAGGCTGGCGGGTGTAAGGGTAGGGGTATCACAGAGAACTTGAGCCCATCATGATTTTGGATCCAACTGGTACCCATTGAGCTATATGGGTTGTGGGATGGACTTCATGAAAAGACATGAAGTGAGCCTGCTCTTCCCTTCTGCTCATCACCTCTTCTTTCTCTGCAGATTTATCCCCGCTCTTGTTTTGGGGAGAACACACTGGATGAAGCCCATCTACAGATCTGAGCTCGGATAGGAGTGAATCTAGGGCAGAGGCCAGGGCTGGTAGCCAGCTCTGCCTTATCACTGCCAGGAACACTGGGGGCCCAGCCACTATGAGGAGGCAATCAGGCACCTTCCACATAGCCACCTCCCAGGGTGAGAGCTACCCTGACGGCTTTGCTCTCTCCAGTACAGAATTCTGGATTTGGCCACTTAAATACAGGCTATTATTGCTGAGATGTGAGTGAAACCAGCTAGTTTGTCAATGATGGAAGACTTGGGGACAGTCCATAGGACTTGGGAAGGACCTTCCAGCTTGCATCTCATTTCTTGACCCGCCCCACCCCCACTTCCAGTCCCGCCCAAGCACGCCTGCCAGGCACATGCCCCATCTGGCATGATCCTGCATTCTTGTCACGCCACCCGGGGCCTTGGCTGCCTGGGAGGGGAGATGCTCACATTTGTACAGGCTGCATAGACTACTTGGCACCAGAAGCATCAGGAGCTTGCCCTCCTTGAGGGAAGGGCAGAGGGTCTGGACTCCCTGCTTTCAGCAGGAATAATATGGCTAAGTTGACAGGATGGAGGGACCCCAGGCCCCTCCCCTGCGGAGGGGTTGTAGGAAGGTTGATGTGGCTCTTTATGCCACCACAACCTTCCCCCTCACCCCCCTGACTCAGGTCCTAAGTTCTAGGGCCTCAGCAGAGAGAATTGGAAAGGACCTGGTTAGCTTCTGCTGGTGGGGCAGGCCCCAGCCACCAACCTGGCCTCTTGTGACGGTGGGCAGGTAGTGGAGGAAATGTGGCCACAGGCTTGTTCAGGGTGATCTTTGACAGTTTGTGTTCATCTGCCCCACCCTTGCCAGAAGTCAGTGGGCAAAAACCAATCTGTCTTTGGATCTAGACAAGCAGATACTCAGGAGGGAACAAGGATCAGGACATTTGAAGGGTCTGACTCTAGGAGTGTTCAGAGAGCATTCTCCAGGTTCTGCATGGCTATAGCCTGTCCACACTCCCACTAATTGCTCAGTGGCCCTTCTTCCAGGAGAAGACAACTCAGGGAGCCTTCTCTGTGACTGTTATACCCATCCTGCAACCAGAGACTGAGGCCCCTAGCTGCTCTGCTCTATACCCATCAGTGGGAGCCATGGGTATTAACAACTGTCCCCCTGGCTGCTCTCAGGCTGTCTGTTGCATTGGGAATAAGAGAAACACGGCTTTGAACTCGAGTATGACTCCTTGATGGTGGTGGTAGGATTGTACTTGGATGTGAGCCGGGATTCTTCACTAGACTCCAGAGACAAGAGCCACACAGATCCAAAGTAGATTGTGTCTGAGGTTAGCACATGTGGCCCAGATGGGAATGGGATGAGGCTCTAGCTGGGGGCCTTTTGGGTCCCAGGCCAATTGGGACACACCACTTATGTGTAGTTTTCTGTGCTGCTAAGTAAATTTGGTTTCTTAGAACTGAGCAGGCTCAGGGAGCAGGTGCCTACTGTACTCACTGGCTCACCCCTCACCCTCCACCCTTCACTCAAGAGTTACCCAAAAGTCACCATTTTTTTCTCTCTGCCCCATTTCCCCCATTCCCAGCGTCTTCCCTGCTGAGTTCTCCCCCACAGTAACCTGCATCCCTGCCCCCAACATACACACTCCTCAGGAATTCCTGAGCCTCAAGTGTCCCCACTGTCCACCTTGTCCCTTCACACAAGCACTGCCACAATGCACCCTTCAATGGGCAAATGGGGACCAAAGGGTCAGAGAAGTGTGTACCTCCAAAGTGACAGTCAGCTGTGGTTGCCATAGCTGGAGCAGAAACAAATGAACTACTTGGACACTGGGGCTTGAATCAGTGTTTCATTGCTACCTACCTACTTGGGATTCTTAGTTGTCTGTAAAATACAAATAATGTACCTACTCATAAGATGATTGTGATCAAATGATTTTTAAGAATAAAACACCCACAGTGAGCCTATATACTTAGCTACCCTTTTGTAAGTCTGAAAGGATTCTGTTCTGATGAATGTAGCCCTGGGGCTGGGTCTCCTGATGCCAGGGAGCCCTTCCTGCTTGTAGTTGGTAAATGTTCACATACCCCTAACTCTGCCTCCTTCACAGGGGCCCAGGCACCCGCCTTGTCCTGGGAAGGGTGAGTCCAGCAGTGATTGAGGGGAAGGGAAGGGGGAGCGCTTTCCCTCCTTTTGGCCCCAGTCAGGATATGGCGGCTCTGGGCCCAGCCCTGACCTCTGGGTGGAAACAGGAAATAAGTGAGACTTGGTGTGCACTGGGTCTCTGTGCTTGGCTCCATGGCTGATAAGGGCCATTGTGTGGCCGCCGGGGATGAGACTGCCCTGGATAGATGTGCTTCCCGGAGGAAGGAAGGAAGCTTTACTGGCCTTTCCTGGGCGGGGGATGCTGTGGGGAGGAGAGAGGAGGGAAGAGTACAGGGGGAAAATGCCTGGCCAGCACAGGTCCACTGGACTCTGTCCCCTCCCATACCAGCCTCTGTCTCTGGAAAAGTCCGTTTCCCCCATCCGCTTCCTCCTTCTCACTTCCTATAAGGAATGGCTGGAGACTGGAGGGCTCAGTCGCAGGCCAGGAAAGTGTCAGCTGTGATTTAGCAACAATAAAGATAGAAAAACAGGAACATGAGCGGTGGGGGGACAGCTGGGGTGCTACTGAAAAGTAAGGAGCAAACAGGGCTTGACGTGGCCCACACCCAGGGAACCCAGGAATTAACCTCCCAAGCATTGGTAGCTCAGAGGAAGTTGGAGAGGGGACAGTACAGAGGCCTCATAGCACGCCTCCGCCCAGTATGATCAGCCCTCGCCAGCCCTGGCCCCTCATGCTCCTGGGGCCCACCTGCTGCTATGAGAGGCAGGCAAGTTGGGGAGATATAAAGAGAGACAGGGGCTTAGGGGAGGATGTGCCTCTGGTTTGGGGAGTGGTTACAGTCAGCCTTCTGGCTGATACTAGGGAAGAGTGGGCAGTAGGAGAGGCCCAGACCATGGACCTGCTGGGGAAAAAGACTTCCTACCCTTTGACCTGGAGCCAAGGGTCTCCCCAACCCCACCCAGTGGCTATATTAGCTCCTCTGGTTACCTGGGACAACAGGCATTTCCTCTACCCCTCAACCCCTCCTCTTCCTGCCCCAAGTCTCTGGGCCAAGTGGCCTACCAATCAGACCTGGGCCGCTCCAGCTGTGTCCTGAGGAGCTGGACCAGCCACCTCCCCTGGGGCTGGAGTTGAAGCTGAACCAAGTGGCCATCCAGGCGTAAAACCATAGATTTTCTGGCTCCAGGAACAGCTAGACCCAGTGGGCAGGCAGGCAGGCAGGCAGGCTTGCACTTGGAGCCTCCAGTGCTCAGCAAGCTGGCTCTCCACAGGCAGGATGGCGCTGCAAGTGGAGCTGATACCCACCGGGGAGATCATCCGCGTGGTTCATCCCCACAGGCCCTGCAAGCTCGTAAGCTGGGGTACTCTGGGCTGGGAGGATGGATGGGGGGAGCTCTCCACGGCCCTGCAGCTCCATCCCAAGCAAACCACTTGGGAAAAGAGGTGAAGAATAGGGAGAGATTCTACTCCTTGGTGGCACTGGAACCAGCTGGAAAGAAGGGTTACAAGGAGCAGAGCTTTTCAAAGCTCAGTAAGCGGGGTTATAAAACTAAAATAGGTATGACAGCATACGGAGTGCTGGTGTGGCGCTGTGGGTTAATACCCTGGACTGCAAAGTTGAACTGCAAAGTCGGTAGTTCAAGCTCACCTGCTCAAAAACCCTATGCAGGGTTGTTATGAGTCAGAATGGACTCAACGGCATTTAACAACGTAACATGAGGGGGAAAAGATGTATGTAAAGCTCCAGGCATATATATATATAGTACAGGCTCAGTTAATGCCTTCCCTTTTCCTTTCGGCGCCTCAGAAGTGAGGCTTGCCCAGCTCAGAGAAGTGGTTTGGGCCTGTTGTGTGCTAGGAGGGAGGTGGTTAGAAATAGAGAACTGCCTTTGTCTGCCGGGAAAGCTCTGGCTAGTTCTGGAGATACAACTGAGCCGTGAGATGAGTCGGGTTGCCACTCGGAGGAGAGTGCGTGCGTGTGTACGTGTGTGTGACTGGACGCGACTCGCCCCGGCAGCTGGTTGTGAGGCGTGCGGCGGCACAGTCCTCCACAGACGCGGGCCGGGACCCAGCCGGCCGGGGCGGGGCCCGAGGGTGCGCGCGCGCGTCCAGGCCTGGGCCCTGCCCGGGATGACGACAAGCGGCGGCCCGGCCCCCGGCGGGCCCTGGGCGGGGAGATCGTGCCAGGGCCGCGGACTCCTGAGCCAGCCACGCCGCCCGGCCTGGACCCGGCCCGCGTGCCCGAAGAGCCGAGCCGGTGGGTATGCGGGGCGCGAGCACTGGGCGGGCAGTCGCCGCGTAGCCCCGGTAAGCCTCAGCTGGCGGGAAGGATGGGGCCGGGCGCTGAGCGGATTCGGGCTGCTGTGCGGGAGGCGGGGGTCGCCCGCCCAGAGATCGCGGATGGAGGCGCGACTCGGCTCGGCCCGGCCCGTGAGGTCCCTAGAGTCCTTGGCACCCGAACTCAGCCTAGTGGGGATTTAGTTTACTCGTGGATGTGGGGGCGGGGATAAGCGGTCTGCGGTGCCGGACCCAGGCACTCTATACGCCCTCCGCCCCACCCTCCTCCCCAGCTCTGCCTTTAGGTTCCGGAGAAGCTCTCCGAGTCCCGCCCCTTCCCGTTCTCCACCCCCGGGTCCAGCGGCTCCGGTGCCCACTGAGCGCCTCCCGGAGTGTGTGCGTGAGGAAGTTGGGGGCCTCGGAGATGAATGAGAGAATGAATGGGTGGCTTGCAGCCTTACTGAACTCTGGGCGCACTCCGACCTCCTGCTCACATGCCTGGGCTCTGTGATTCATTCATTCATTCATACCGGCGTCCCCAGCGCGTTTGTTGGCCTCTAAGTGTGCCTAGCGGGGTGTACTAGTCTCTCCCAGGAGACAAGGAAACATGCGACTAGGAGGGGGCTATGTGTGTGTGTGAGGACGGGGCATATCAGGAAGGGGTTCTGAAGGAGATGATACCTGACCTGAGTTTTCAAGGATAACTAAGAGGCAGTCAAGTGGGGAGATGACTCTGGACCAAAGAAGCTGCAAGTGCAAAGACACAGAAGCTCAGAGAGCCACGTGTGGCTGGTGGCAGTGTGCAAGCAGCTCTTCCTGGCTATATGTGGTGTGGTCGGGGAGCAGAGAAGGGAAAGGACTGGAGAGGACCACTTAACCATCACAGGATCATTCACGAGGGACCGGAAAGGGCCTGGCAAGCAGTGAGCTTGAAGCCCGCAGCTGGGTCCTGACATAACGTGGTGGTGGTTTTTAGATGCCATGGAGTTGGTTCCTACTCATAGTGACCCTCTGTACCACTCTGTTCAGTCCTGCACCATCCTCAGGGAGGGCACCCAATAAAATACCAATCTATTCACATTAGGTGTTAATTGATGGAATTTACATTTTAAAATATCTTAGGCTGCTGTGGGTACATGGGTTGGCAGGAAATAAAGCTGGAAGGAGGCAGGGAAGCCAGTTAGGAGGCTGCTTCAGTGGTCCAGGATAGAAGCAGTGGTGAGGTTGTAGCTGGTGGTGAGGGTTGGTGTGAGGAAGCCAAGGGAGGGCAGGCCTCATGATGCCAGGCCCCTATGATACAGCTGGATGTGCCTCCCTCCTCTTTGACATTCTGATATGAGGAATATCAAGGTGGTTGTTGTGTTGTTGTTAAGTGCCGTCGAGTCAGTTCTGAACCATAGCGACCCTGTTTCCAAGGAGCAGCTGATGAGCTTGAACCGCCAATCTTAAGTTCAAACCAACTTTGCAGTCCAGCACATTAACCCACAGTGCCACACCAGGACTCCAATATCAAGGGGTGGTTGTTCTTCTTGTTAAGTGCTGTTGAGTTGGTTCCAACCCATAGTGACCCTGTATAGGGTTTCCAAGGTTGAATCACCAACCTTGTAGTTCAAACCGACTTTGCAGTCCAGTGCATTAACCCACAGTGCCACACCAGGACTCTGTATTATTTTTCTGGGTGCCTTCCCCACCCACCAAAGTCAATGGTGATGCCAAATGCCCATGGCTCTGGATATGGAGCTAGAGTATACAGCCCTCAATCTATCAAGCCTAAGATTTGTGTGATAAATGTAAATTGAGCACCTGTTCTGTGCTTGCACTGGGCTACTGCTGAGTGACTCTCAGCTGTCTTTCCTCTGCTTCAAGAGGCTGTGAGGCTGACTTTGTGGAAATCAGCTTATAGCAGCAGCTAGGGTTCCTTAGGACTCCCCTCCAGATATGTGTGGCCCTGGGCTGGGGGATCATTTGAACTGTTCAGTGGTGGTTCCTGATCCTCTCCCCAAGAGGTGAAGTTTGGGAACACGTGGCCATGGCCTATACGTGGTGAAGGGCACAGGATGCCTAAGGGCTGTAGGGCCTGCCCCCTGGCTGTAGTTCTTGGAAACACCCCCTAGGTAGGGGGCAATTCAGAGACAGCTTTGGGAATTATGTTCTAGGTCACTCAGGGACCTGAGTCCAAGGCTGTGTTGGGGTTCCCAAAGGCCATGGCCCACGCCCTGGTTCTACTCCCAAGACTCATATGTCAGTAGAGCCACACACCACCCATAGGTGTGCACTGCAGTCATGGGGTGGGGATGGGTGGGAATGGTGGTGGTGTCCCTGTAAATCCCCACAGAGGCTGGGAAGTCAGGAGGAAGCCGCGTTGCACTAGGTTGGCCTCTAGGGACAGAAGAAGCAAGTGCTCAGTTCCCCTGCCTTCCAATCCCACCTAGCTTCCTTTTACTAGCCCTGAGATCCTGAACAAGTCACTTCACCTATCCAGCCTCAGTTTCCCTATCTGTAACATAGTAGTAATAATACAGACCTGGTAATAATAGGAGTCCTGGTGTGGCGCTGTGGGTTAATTCGCTGGACTGTAAGTTCGGTTTGAACGGCAAGATCAGCTTTTCAAACTCACCAGCCGTTCCTCGGAAACCCTATACACGGTCACTATGAGTCGGAACCGACTCGACGGCACTTAACAACAACAGTACAGATTTTAGGGCCTGGCTAGGGCACTGAAGGGACTAACTGGAGAAAGTGCTCAGAACAATAAAGCCTGACTCTGCAGCAGTTTTGCATACCTTCAGCTAGGCTTTCGCCTGCTGCGGCCCGCGCTTCTGTCTAGTGGGGCGGGGCGGGGGGGAGGGACCGGGGCTCGGGGCGGAGCCTGGGTGCCGAGGCCCAGGCTAGAGGAGTCGCCCCCTCCTTCCGCCGCTGGGCGGTGGCTGCGGGGGCGCCAGTGGGCATCCTGGGAATGCGGCGGCGCTGCTTCGGGTGGAGGGCTAGCCAGCCGGACCCCTCCGCGTGCGGATTCCCCTCATTCCAGCCGCTTGACGCGGCGGCAGCGGCGGGTGGGGCGGACACTGCGGTGGCGAAGCTCCGCCTCGCTCTCCAGCCCCATTTTCTCTTAACACTTCACTGGTGGGAGCCCGGGCCTCCTCAAGCACCGGGGAGAGAGAGGGTGCTGTGCTCCAAGTTGGGGCTATGCCAACCCCCCCACAGTCTTTTAATGACTTCTCACTGCTGCGTGGATCCCCTCACCGCTCATTTCTGAATCTTAAATCTGGGAGCATAGCTGAGGGCGCCCCCTCCCGCTCACCTCTGCCGGCGTTGTTTAGCCTCCCAACTCCTCTTCTCCACCCCCATCTCCCAGCCAGCACCTTGTCCCCTTACCCTCTCCAGGGGCCCCATCTCCCAGCTGGCGTCCCCTGCGGGGACCCTTGGATGAGGCTTCAGCTGGGGTTGTTATTCTTGAGGTAATGAGCCTTCTCCCAGAGACCGCAGTGCGCACGCACCTGCAGCCTCATCTTGGCTCTGGGAGCCTGGGTCCGAGGGTGGGGTGCAATGGGTCCTTGGCTGTTATTTAACCTCTAGGACAAGTCAGTGTTTTGCACCTCAGATTCCTTATCTGTCAGGTGGAGACAGGTACTTCCTGGGCGCTTGAGAGATCTTTATAACCGGCAGACATGTCTGAGGGGCTTTCCCCTCTAGATAAGTGTGACCAGGTTGGCCCTGGTCTGCCCCAAGCATGTGTGGAATGATTATCTGACAAAAAGAAGGGTGGGGAGGTTGCTTAGTTCTTTCTTTATCTTGGATGTACCAACAACCTTTTTAAGCTGGCTTTAGCCTCACTTTAAGGATGAAGAAGCAGGTTTAGAGAAGTGAAGTGACTTGCTGGTAGTTTTACTGCTAGTGAAAAACAAAAACAAAAAACAGCGAAGCCCTTTCCAAGTGGGGTCTGAGCTAGAGTCCACCCTCCCCCGCCCTGGCCTAAGGGAGTCTGCCTTCTGAGGGCCCTGTGAGGAGGAGTGGAACTGAAGGGTTTGGAGACAAGACATCCTATCAGAGGGTGTGGAGTGATCCAAAAGGACAAGAGTGGGCGTCTCCCCCTCTAGAGGAGGGATCCAGAAGAGGGACACTTGGGGCATACAGGTCCGAGTTAGGTTGCCTGGAATAGGTGACAGAAGTATTGGTCTGAAATGCTAGAAGTCAGATATGAATTTCCCAGATGGGAAACCGAGACCACCACAAGGGCCGGGAACACTCCGCGCTTGCCAAGGATGCTCTGTGACTGTCTCCCTCCTTTGGGGCGCACACTTCTGGCTGATGCAGAGATCTGGCCCGTCCCCCAGATGTGTATAGGAGGGGGAGGACTGTGTCCCACAGGGAGGCTCCGCCCGCCTAGGCACGCCGGCCGTATTTGGACATTTCATTCTATTTTTAACTTTTCCCGGGACTGGAGGTTGGGGTAAAGGGGGGAGGGGAACCCTGCGTCCTCAGAGACCCACGGGCGTCAATCTCGTCCAGTGCCTGGCCTGCCTGCAGCGTGTAGACAGAAGCCCGGAAGTTAGTTCCGGGTCCGTGTAGACGCGGCTGCCGCCAGGGTTCCGAGCCCCACCCTGGAACCAAAGACTTACGTCCTCCTGGAAAACCTGACTCAGGCGGAGCCCCTGCCTGGCCGGGCCCCGCCCCCGAGCCTGCCCCCGCCCGCCCCCAACCGGGCTCCGGGGTCCACCTTAGGTCTCCACGCCACCCCCACCCTATGAAGGTTGACTAGGAGTCCGAGCCCCGCCAGGCGGGTGAACTGTGGAGTCCCGAGCTTCTGGGGCTTGCGGAGGGGGCGGTACGGGGGGGACGGGCTTACCCCTCCCTCACTGACGCCGCCACCGCCACTTCTGCCGCCGAGCCCGGGCCGAGAGAGCACGGGCAGCGGAGCAGGGCGCCAGGCCGGCCAGGCAGGATGCGCTACCGGGCGTCGGTGAGAAGGGCTGTGGGCAGAGCGGGGGTCCCGGGCGTCCCTCCCTACCTCCAGGCACGGCCTCAGACCCGTCAGGAAGCGGGCGCGGCCCAGGAATTTCGGGTGGAAAAATGTCCGGGGAAAGTTGCAGGCAGGGAGGAGGCCCAGGCAGGGAGCGCCTTGGGGTGCTCGGACCCAGACCAACTAGGCTGTTCCCTGGGACAGCTAGGAGCATAGAAAGCCCCCACACCTGGAGGGCAAGTGGGTAGGGACTGCCACCAGATTTGGCAGCAGAGCCAGAGTGAGATTGGTAGGGGGAGAAGTGAGGAATAGGCCAGAGATCCGGGCTGTATGGAGTCTGAGGAGACCTGGAGACTCCTTGGGATCTCCATCGTCCATCATCAACCTTGTTCTTCTCTGATCCTGACCGTTTATTCCTGTTCTCAGTTTCCTAGAGCCTCTAGACCCTCAGAATCAGAATCTCAAGAAACCACAGGGTGTGGGGTGAGGGCCTTACTGAGCCTGTGTTTCCCCACCCCTGCCTGAGGAACAGGCAGATGGACTTTTTGTGGTGAAACCCCCAAGCCCTTGAGGCCTCTGGGGACTCTTAATGGAGAAGAATGTCTGGGGAATTCAGCAGCTGGAGGGGCAGGAAAGGCCCCACTGATGGGTGGGAGGGCCACCCGTTTCTGGGAAGTGTTGAGCCCAGCTGCAGTATGTGGCCTTTAGGGGGAATCCCTCTCCTGGGAGTGGTCTCTTGTGTCTCCCTGGATACTTTCCCCAGGGAGACTTCGGTGGGAGTAGGGGCAAGAGAGAAAGCCCTACCCCGTGTACAGAATTAGTCTGAGCCATTTGTCCTCCAAAGCACCTGTCACATGTGGCCAGAGCTAAGGGATCTGAGGTCACCTGGTCTGGCTCCCTCCTCCTGCCTTGAGGACGAGGGCACCCAGAAAGGAGGGGATTTGCCCAAGGTCACAGAGCATTCTTCCCGGAATTTGAATTTGGAAGCATTCCTTGTCTTGATCTCTCTTTCTGTACACACTACCAGCTCCTGACCAGGATCAGTGGCCTTGCTCCCATGTCTTCTATTCCCTGGTACTCCAGGTGTCCTGTGTCCAGGTCTTGTGTGTCCCCTGTTCAGTATTTTCACTCTCTGTTGTCATGTGGCCCAGGCCCTGTGTACTTAGTGTGTTTCATATCCTGGGTGTTCTGTGTCCAGGCCCCCTGGGTCCATGTGCCTCTGGTTTTCCCTCAGCCTTACCCTGCTGGCTCTGACCCTCTCTTCTGACCCCTTCCCTGCAGACCCTGGGCAGTGACGGGGTACGCGTGACCATGGAGAGTGCGCTGACCGCCCGTGACCGGGTGGGGGTACAGGATTTTGTACTGCTGGAGAACTTCACCAGTGAGGCATCCTTTATTGAGAACCTGCGGCGGCGATTCCGGGAGAACCTCATATATGTGAGACCTGACTGGGCAGATGTATGGGGCCCTGGGGGGAGGGGTGTAGGTGCAGGGATGAGGGAGAAGAAGGAAGACACCACAACCTCTGGAAGGAATGTCTGACCCTTTTTTCCCTACCTCCCAGACTTACATCGGCCCAGTCCTGGTCTCTGTTAATCCCTACCGGGACCTACAGATCTACAGCCGGCAGCACATGGAACGCTACCGTGGTGTCAGCTTCTATGAAGTGCCCCCCCACCTGTGAGTGACCCTGACCTCCCCAACTATGACTCCCTGTATCCATCTGAGCATGACCCCACCTCAACTCTATTTCTAAAATGATCCCTACTAACTCCTACCTGAAGGAGCTCTGGTAGCGTAGTGGTTATGAATCCGACTACGAACTGCAAGGTCAGCAGTTCAAAACTACCATCTGCTCCGTGGGAGAAAGATGAGGCTTTCTGCTCCTGTAAAGATTTACAGCCTCGGAAACCCTGTTCAGGGTTGTTATGGGTCGGAACCGACTCGACGGCACTTAACAACAACAACAACTCCTACCTGAGATAACTTTTTCAACTCCACCTGGAAGGAACTTCATCAGCCCCCACCTTAACTCATAGCCATGACTTACCTCCCAACTCTACCTGGGCATGTCCCCTTAATCTTAGTGACTTTTTGACCTATGAAGAATCTTCAAGTCCTACCTCTAGTGACCTCAACTTCCACCTGATTATCATCCAAAGCCCCACCCATGAGCAATTCCCTCAGTTCTGAAAGTAACCTCCCATCTTCACCTGAAGGATCCTTTCGGCCACACTCACAAGGGACCCCATAAGCTTCATCCTCACGAATCTACTCTAACTCACATCCATAACTCCCACCAGATATGGGAGTGGACCCCTAACCTCACTTGAGGGCTCCCACTATCACCTACAACCACTTGACCACCCACCTCCTGAATCCCTGACAAGCCTCTGCCCCCAGGTTTGCAGTGGCTGACACTGTGTACCGGGCACTGCGCACAGAGCGCCGGGACCAGGCAGTGATGATTTCTGGAGAGAGCGGGGCAGGCAAGACTGAGGCCACCAAGAGACTGTTGCAATTCTATGCTGAGACCTGCCCAGCCCCCGAGCGGGGGGGTGCTGTACGTGACAGACTGCTTCAGAGCAACCCTGTGCTGGAGGTGAGTGGACAGCAGCCTCTATGGGGTAAGAGAGGGGAGAGGGAGTACCAAGTCCCTCAAACTTCAACTCCCTTCTAGGCCTTTGGAAACGCCAAGACCCTTCGGAATGATAACTCCAGCCGGTTTGGGAAATACATGGATGTACAGTTTGACTTCAAGGTACCTGTTGGTGTGTTAGAAGAGGGAGTTCCCATTCTACAGGTGCACACAGGCCAGGTCCCTGACACTAGCAAATTTTTCTGAAGCGTCTACTATGTGTTAGGAGCCCTGGTATGGCGCTGTAGAGTAAGTCCTCCACTGCAGTATCAGTTTAAACCACAAGGTCAGCAGTTCAGATCTGCCAGCTGCTCCTCGGAAACCCTATACAGGGTCGCTATGCGTTGGAACGAAATCAACGGCACTTAACAATAACAACAACAACTATGTGCTAAGTAAGCACTGTTCTAGGTGCTGGTAGTGCAGTAGTAGACAAAAGTCCCCTGGGGGAGATATACAATAAACAGAAAAATAACAAATTAGGTGGCAAGGTTGCAGCAAAAAATGAAATGAGGTAAGGGGATACAGTGACATCTAAAGGGTGGGCCAGTTGTGTTTTTAGATCAGGTGAGTAGTGTGGGTGAGCAAACTATGCAGATACTATGGAGAGATTCCAGGTAGAGGACTCGCCAACGCAAAGACCCTGAGGTTGGAGCTCATTTTTGTGTTCAAGGGACATCAAGAAGGCCAGAGTGGCCGGAGAAAGATAACAAGGTATGGTAGAGAACAGAAGGAGGTCAGAGATGAGATAGGGCAGGCCCTTGTGGGTTATTTCAAGAACTTGGATTTGCACTCTTGAGTAGAAGGGGGCCATTGGAGGGATTTGAGCTTTTCTTTTAAAAAGGATCACTGTGGCTCTTGTGTTGATAATAGACCTTAGGGAGCCAGGCCATAAGCAGGGAAACTGGTTAGGAAGCTGATGTAATAATCTAGGTGACAGATGGCAGTGGTTCAGAGTATTGTAGTGACAGTGGAAGTGGTGAGCAGTCAGTGACTGGATTTGGGATATGTTTCAGAAGTTGAGCCAGCAGGATTTACAGTCTGATTGGACATGGGTGTGACAGAGAAAGAGGCTTCTTGGATGAATGCAAACTTCTTGGTATGAACAACTGAATGGACGGAGTGGAAGATCCTAGGAGGAGCTAGTTGGAGGAGAGAGAGATTAGGAGTTCATTTCTAGGTCTACTGAGTTTGAGATACCTGTCAGGCATCCAAGTAGGTGGGGTACAGTTTCCCCATTTCTTAAATGAAGAAACTGAGGTCTGAGAGGTGACTTGTGTGAACTCACACAGTTAGTGGCAGAGCTGGAATTAGAGCCCAGGTCTGGCTGATTTCAAAGTCCAGGAGTGTGTGGGAGAGAGAAGATGGGCACTATTCCCCAGTACCCCAACCAGTTCCTGTGCCCTCCCTTACCCACAGGGTGCCCCCGTGGGTGGCCACATCCTTAGTTACCTCCTGGAGAAATCCCGAGTGGTGCATCAGAATCACGGGGAGAGGAACTTCCACGTCTTCTACCAGCTGCTGGAGGGGGGCGAGGAGGAGACCCTGCGCAGACTGGGCTTGGAGCGCAACCCCCAGAGCTATCTGTACCTGGTGAAGGTGAGTGGCTGGCAGGCAAAGTAGGTGCCACCCAGAGGGCACAGTGCCAGGCCTGGTAACCCAAGCTATGCTGCCGTTCCTCCAGGGCCAGTGTGCCAAAGTGTCCTCCATCAATGACAAGAGTGACTGGAAGGTGGTCAGGAAGGCTCTGACAGTCATCAACTTCACCGAGGACGAAGTGGAGGTAAGGCCACTGTTGGAGACCACTCCTTTCCTCTTATCACACTCTGAAAGCCACCTTCTCCCTCTAGAACCCTCATCCATTTATAGTGCCCACCCCATCTAGCCATCTACTGGTCACCCTCTGTCCCCTCTCCCAGGACCTGCTGAGCATCGTGGCCAGTGTCCTGCATTTGGGCAACATCCACTTTGCTGCTGATGAGGAGAGCAATGCCCAGGTCACCAGTGAGAACCAGCTTAAGTATCTGACTAGGGTAAGTGGAGTGGGCAGAGAGGATGCAGAGAGGCAGCAGGGCCATGGGAGAATGACCCTCACCATGCCCACCCTCCCACCTTTGGCAGCTCCTTGGTGTAGACGGCGTGACGTTGCGGGAAGCCCTGATTCACAGGAAGATCATCGCCAAGGGAGAAGAGGTGAGGCCAAGCCTTTGCCTCAGGAGGTGTGTAGGAGGGGAGACAGGTGTCAACCCCCACCACTTCCCCTGTCCCTGGTCTGCTGGGCTGATCCTGTTGGTCATGTTAGAGAGACCTAAGGACAGTGATGGTTCAGTGGTAGAATTCTCACTTTGCATGTGAGAGACCCAGATTCCGTTCCCAGCAATGCACCTCAGTGTAGTTACCATTCTTCTGTTTCTGTGGAAACTTGTGTGTTGCTATGATGCTGAAGAGGTTTTGGGGGACTAGGAAGAAAGGCCTGGTGATCTTCATCCCAGATTCAGCCAGTGAAAATCCTATGGACCTCAATGGTCTGATCTGCAACCAGTCATGAGAATGGTACAGGACTAGACAATGATTCATCCCCATTGGGCATGTTGAGGGTTAACTCCATGGCAACTAACAACAACAATCTGTTGGCTCAGAGAGGCACAGTGAGCTAGCCAAGGTCACATAGGAAGAGGGTAACAGCCAAATTGCAACCAAGATTCTCACCTTCAAAAATGAGGCCTCTTCTTCCTGGTGTGGTTGCTATGTCTCTTCTCTTTCACCCACTCAACCCCTAGGGTCTCCACGAATGGGGAGGGCAGGTAGACATAGTTTCCTGATCTTCCGCTTGATTCTGAAGGAGAAGTAGGATGGGAAGGGAATCCAGATGCTCATCTCCCTGTCTCACCCCACACCTACAGCTCCTGAGCCCGCTGAACCTAGAACAGGCTGCGTATGCACGAGATGCTCTTGCCAAGGCTGTATACAGTCGCACTTTTACCTGGCTGGTTGGGAAAATCAACAGGTCGCTGGCCTCCAAGGTGAGGACTCAACCCAGGCTGCTTCCAAGGTAGCAGGGAAGGAAGTGCAGGGAGAGTGGGGACTGGGAGCTGGGGTCTGAAAACCATTCAAGCAAGACTCTTACGCTTGCTTGAATGACTGACCCTAGGATGCGGAGAGTCCCAGCTGGCGGAGCACCACGGTCCTTGGGCTCCTGGACATTTATGGCTTTGAGGTGTTTCAGCACAACAGGTCAGCACTAACCTCTCCCTTTACCTGTGTCTCCTCCCATCTCTCCTATCCTGGCCCCTCTCCTCCATCCTTCTGTGTCTCCTCCCATCTCTCCTATCTTGGCCCCTCTCCTCCATCCTCCTGGCTGTGTCATTCCTGCTCCATGACTCCCCAGCCACCCTTGCTCCCACTCTATAGTGCTTACCATAGCTGCTCAGGGTCCCTGTCCTGTTTTCCCCCTGCTCCTGGTCCTGTGTCCCCATTGAGCTACTGTAGGTTTTTTCTGTTTCTCTCCCAGTTTTGAACAATTCTGCATCAATTACTGCAATGAAAAGCTGCAGCAGCTCTTCATAGAGCTCACCCTCAAGTCAGAACAGGAGGAATATGAGGCTGAGGGCATCGCGGTGAGTGCAGGAAGCCCAGAAAGCCCAGGTCTTAGGGAGAGGGGACTAAGACCCTATGATAATGCCTTCCTGCTCTTTTGACCCCCTCAGTGGGAGCCTGTCCAGTATTTCAACAATAAGATCATCTGTGACCTGGTGGAGGAGAAGTTCAAGGGTATCATCTCCATTTTGGTAGGTCCTCTGCTCCTCCAAGACTTCATGTGATAGACTTGGTTGGGTCAGGGAGGATGTCACTCCATCTCCTTTCTCTCCAGGGTCTGAGCAGGGACAGGGAGGGACATCATGTGGAGGGTGAGGTCCGGGCACATTCTGAGGGAGGCTCCCTATAAGCTGCCCCTATCCCATGTCTGTGTTCCCCTCACTGCTCCCCAGCACATCCCTCACCCTGTCCCACATCCTACAGGATGAGGAATGTCTGCGCCCTGGGGAGGCCACAGACCTGACCTTCTTGGAGAAGTTGGAGGACACGGTCAAGCACCATCCGCACTTCCTGACGTGAGTGGGGCTGCAGGGCTGTGGGGGGGCCAGCCCCCTACACACAGACCCACCTTCCTACAGTCCTGTGGAAGTCAGGAGACCTCAGAGGGTCAGAAATGGCTAAAGATCACCAATCACCAGCCACAGGAGATACCCAGGGAGATGCTAATTAAGCACAACTCTGCCATGCTGCGTCTCTGAAGGAAGAAGTAGTTTCCTCATGGTTTTTTGTTCTGTTTTTTTTTTTTTAATGAATGAAACTTGTTAAGATTTTTTTTTTTTTAAGCTTCCTTATCTGGTAATTACTTATTATTTATGGACTCCCCTAAATGTGTACCTCTGTCCCAGCTCAGCCCTGCGTATTTTGGGCATGTCTTCTCTGCCCTACAGTACCCCTTTAAGGAGGTGCCTTGCGTGTTTGGCTCCATTTCCTGGGGCTCAGTGAGGTGAAGTCACTGGGCCAAGGTTATCAGACATCTCATACATTTCAGAGCTGGGACTCAGGCCCAGAGCTGTCTGATAGCAAAGCCCTGGACATTTTGTTTGCTTCATAATATGTTTAAAACTTGTTTCTGACTATAAAAATAACGTTGCTCATTAGAGGAAAGCTAGAATGTAAGCACAAGTCACTTGTAATCCTGTCACCCAGAGGTCACCACTGCTAACAATTTGAGGCATTTCCTTCCTGTCTTTTTCTATACGTTTTTTTTTTTTTTAATGTGTAGAGAACTTATTGTCAGTAGGCTCAGGATAATGTTGTATCCCAAGTATTTTCCTGTGTCATGAAACATAGAAATTTCCTCAAAACACTTCCTGTAGTTGTTACATGGTCCTTTAACCCACAGTGTGCCACCACCCTCACCTAGCTTTGGGGGCCCCTGATCAGCTTCTGGGGTAACAAGGCTGCCACAGACATCTCTGTGCCTTTTTCTTTGGTTAGTTGCTTGGAATCATTTTGGAAGGTAGAAAATAGGCATAAGGGTGTCAACATGCCAAAGACTAGAATCATCTCTTAAGGAAAGATTCTGTTCCTAGTCTAGTGAGCAGCTCTCAGCCTTCTGAATAAAGTCATGCAACAGCTGGGGACAAAGTAGCTGTGTCACTGTGTGACCCTAAGTGATGCCATCTGCCTCCCTGAGCCTCTGTTGTCTCTTGATGACACCTGTCCCTTCTTAATAGTACAGTTTTGGGTGGATGGCCCTGGGCCATGCTCTTGAAGTCTCCATAGCAGGCAGGGGTAGAACTCAGACCAGCAATCTGCCCCTTCCTCTATCTGCCACCCCCAGGCACAAGCTGGCTGACCAACGGACCAGGAAATCTCTGGGCCGTGGTGAATTCCGCCTTCTCCACTACGCTGGGGAGGTGACCTACAGCGTGACTGGTGAGGATCCTGGGGTCGGTTGGGTCCCACACAGCAGGCAGGACAGGGCCAGGGCACTCTTTCTCACCTCACATCTGCTCTTGCCTCCCAGGGTTTCTGGATAAGAACAATGACCTTCTCTTCCGGAACCTGAAGGAGGTGAGGAGGGCTGGGGGAAGGGGAGGGGTCTGTATGCACCTTTGTTCTGGGAATTTGGCCTGCCTGCCTCTGTTCTCCTACCTGATGCCCACCTCTACCCTCACAGACCATGTGCGGCTCCAAGAATCCCATTATGAGCCGGTGCTTCGACCGGAGTGAGCTCAGTGACAAGAAGCGACCAGAGACGGTGTGGAGCTGTGGGACCCAAGGGGGCGTGGGTGGGTTTGTAGGTGTGTGGGTGTATGTGGAGTTTGGCAGTATGTGCTCTTGAGCTTGTGTGTTTGTTGGTGGCTGTGTGTACATCTGTGTCTGTATGAGACTGGCCGTGGCTGCATCTGTGCCTCTGTGTACACCTGTCTCTGTGGGGACCTGCGTACGTGTGCGTCTGCCTCTGTGTGAACATCCGCAGATGTGTGCTGTAGGCATTGCTTGGCACCATGGATACAAAATGGGTAGGTGCTCTCCTACATGTGAACAGTGGGTGCTTTGGCAACTTAGGAAACAGGACAGCAAACTATGCCTGAAGGAGCAGAAGAAGCAAGGGGCTCAGGAAGGTTTCTTGGAGGAGGAGACATTTGAGAGAACTTAGGAATGAGTAGGCAATGCCAGGAGCTCTGGTGACACAGTGATTAAGCATTTGGCTGCTAGCCAGAAGGTCAGTGGTTCAAATCTACCAGCTGCTCTGAGGAAGAAAGATGCAGTAGTCTGTTTCTGTGGAGATTTACAGCCTTGGAAACCCTGCGGGGCTAGCTGTTCCACTCTGTAGGACAGAGTCGCTGAAAGTGAGGGTTTATTTGACAGCAGTGTGGTTGCTCTCTTAGGGGTTCTTAGGGACCTGTGAGAGGGCACTGTAGGCAGTAAGGGTCCACGCAAGCACACAGGGTTCCTAAAAGGCCAGGAGTTAGGCAGAAGAGTGGCCTCATCAAGGAGAGGGCGGGGAAGAGAAGGTATGGCCAGTGGTGCCATATACCGGAGGACTCTGGGAACTGAAGACAGAGGTATGGCTGTTTAGGTTGGCAGGAGGACAACCTGGGCTGCTCCAGGAGGAGAGGCGTGAAGTAGAAACCAGAGTGCTTCACTGAGACGTATAGGGGTGGGGTCGTGGAGGTAGCATGTTGCCCAGGCTCGGGCTCCTTGGGCCTCTGCTGCCCTCTGCCACTTTCCCCCAGTCCCCTCCCTGAGCACCCTCATCCTCCCAGCCTTACTAAGGGCACCTGCATGCCTGCTGATTCCTAGGCCTTTCCAGCAAGCCACAGATTTATTTATATGTTCAATCATCTCTCCCAATGGCCCTTGGGTACCCCAGACTCCATTGGTCTGTCATGGGCTCTTTGTTGCCCAGCCCCTGAGTACCACTCCTCTGTGTCCCTAACTCATGACAGTAATTACCCTCCACCCAGCCCCTCAAGCCAGAAACCTGGGCATCATCCCTGACTTCACACCTCCATTTCTCCATCCAAGCAACCAGTGGATTTTCTATCACCTGAATGCTTCTCAGCCCCTTCCCCAGTGGGAGTTTCTGCTCTTGCCTTGTTTTTCCTCCTCTAAGTCAGTCATCCTCCTCCTCCTTGATCTCCCAGCTTCCAAGATGCACCTCCCTGCCATCCCCGCCAAATGCCTATCTCTCCCTGTCACTCCCTCACTCCACAGTCCTCAAAGACTCCCAATGTCCTTCATGTGATACTTGAGTCCAACCACCATTTTGCCCTTGCCAATCTCTCTAAGCCCACCTGCATCATTACACTGCATGTAGCTCCCTGTGCTCAGCCTGGCTCACCTCTTCTTACTGGCTGTGTCTTCCTCATCCTCCCAATCTCAGTCATTTTCTCCAGAAGGCCTTTCCTGGCACTTCCTACCACCCGGGCAAGATTAGTTGCTCTTCCTCGGTGTTCCCTGGATCCCTGGGAGACTGTGGTGTTATTTCTGGGACCACCATGGATTGTGAGTCTTTGCCTAAGATTCCCCAAGAATCCTATAAAGCAGTGTTCAGAGACACTGGTTGGATGATGAGGGCAGAACACATAGTAAAGAAATGTAGCCATTGAAGGGCTAAAATAAGAAAGGCTAGTTGATAAAGTGAGGTTCAGGGAGCCTGACCAGGATTTTTAGGGTATAGAGTTAGCTTCCTAAACCAAGGTCTTTAGCTCTGCCAGAGGGAGATGGGATGAAATCTGGCCCGGCCTCTACTGAGGAGCTGAGGGCAAGGCCAAGCAGAGGGATGGGGTAGCTGGGAAAGGGGCTGCTCTGCTAGAGGGAAGGGCCACTGCAGGGGTCAGCAGCCTTAACACAGCACCACCCAACCTTCCACCCATGCTTGACTCACCAGGTTGCCACCCAGTTCAAGATGAGCCTCCTGCAGCTGGTGGAAATCCTCAAGTCCAAGGAGCCTGCCTACATCCGCTGCATCAAGCCCAATGATGCCAAGCAGCCCGGTAGGCATCTCCTGACCTGGGGCCTGTGTGCCAGGCCTCGCCTTCAGAGAGCATTGTCAATGCCAGCCCACTGACCGCCCCTTTCCTGCTCCCCTCCCAGGTCGCTTTGATGAGGTCTTGATCCGGCACCAGGTGAAGTACCTGGGGTTAATGGAGAACCTGCGTGTGCGCAGAGCCGGCTTTGCCTATCGCCGCAAATACGAAGCTTTCCTGCAGAGGTGGGGCAAGGCCTGGCTCCCAACGAGGGAGGAGGGTTGGAAGGAGGGAGGCTAGCCCCACTGGAGCCACCTAGATCACATAAGAGAAGGCTAGGCATCTCAGCCCCATTTAGAGAGGAAGACACAGAGCCCCTCCCTGCTGCCTGCCTGACGTCACCTTATAGAAAGAGCACCCTGCGGGAGGTACCTGAGGCGTGCAGCCTTCTAGGAGCCCAGAGAAGATAGAGCAGTTGTATGGCTACCCTGAGTTCAGAGGCCTGGGGAGGCTCAGGATGTGAATTCCAGCTCGGATCCTGTCTAGTCCTGTGGTCTTTGGCAGATAATGTAACTTCGGTCTTCTCATAGTTAAAACCAGGTGGCAACAGGACAATCCTCCAGGCTTTCTGTGGGCTGTGAACAAGTCAGTGCTAGTTTGGGCCCCCAGAGAAGAGTGCAGTCAGGGCAGAAATTGGGGTGCATTCCTTCTCGCCATCCTCCAGGTACAAGTCACTGTGCCCAGAGACATGGCCCACATGGGCAGGGCGGCCCCAGGATGGGGTGGCTGTGCTGGTCAGACACCTTGGCTACAAGCCCGAGGAGTACAAGATGGGCCGGTAAGTGGTGCCTATGGTTGGTGAGGGGTGAGGGACAGGAGCAACCAGGTTTGACTTCTGTTGCTTTCTCAGGACCAAGATCTTCATCCGCTTCCCAAAGACCCTGTTTGCTACAGAGGATGCCCTGGAGATCCGGCGGCAGAGCCTAGGTTAGAAGGGTTCACCTTTCACACCCCATTGGGGTCCATTCAGGAAACCCAGCTGCTCCTCCATTTGTACCAAGTCCCGCACCTACCATCTACCCTGCAGCCTGGGTGCAAACTGAGCATGTTCCACACGTTGGTTCCCTGCTCACTTTCATGCTCTCTCCTATATTCACCCTCTCACTCATTTGCTCCTTCCATCCTTCCCTCGTTTGTGCTTCCCTCTGAGTTCTGACAGTGCCTGGCTGGGTTCCCCCAGCTCTGACCAATTCCCCTTTCATTCCCAACCACAGCCACAAAGATCCAGGCCACCTGGAGGGGCTTTCACTGGCGGCAGAAATTCCTCCGGGTGAAGCGATCAGGTTCGGGAGATAAGAGGTCTTCTGGAGGGGCAGGATCTGGGTCTAGGGTGGGCCCCCTTGGTGAGGGGAGAGAGGTCAGCCGTCTGTGGTCTATCCAGCCATCTGCATCCAGTCATGGTGGCGCGGAACACTGGGCCGCAGGAAAGCAGCCAAGAGGAAGTGGGCGGCAGAGACAATTCGTCGGTGAGTTCCGGGATGCCATGAGGGGCTGCAGAGCAGAATGTGGTTGGGGGCTCCTTTGCCAGACTTCTTACCTCCACCCATTGGGCTCCTATCCCAGGCTTATCCGTGGCTTCATCCTGCGCCATGCACCCCGTTGCCCTGAGAATGCCTTCTTCCTGGACCACGTGCGTACTTCTTTTTTGCTCAGCCTGCGGCGGCAGCTGCCTCAAAACATCCTGGACACCTCGTGGCCCACACCTCCACCTGCCCTGCGTGAGGTCTGTAGGCCACCCCTGCTGAGTGTGGTACTATCAAAGCTCAGTGTGACATCCTGATAGAGCAGTCAGGGAGGACTTCTTGAAGGAAAGGGACTGGAACTGGACTAGGAAGAATGAATTTTTATGAGAGAAATGTCAAGAACAGGAAGGTTGCCTGGGTCATTACGTAGGCAAAGGCCTGAGGTTAGCAATATGTCTGATGTCTCTTCCCCACAGGCCTCAGATCTTCTGCAGGAGTTGTGCATGAAGAACATGGTGTGGAAATACTGCCGGAGTATCAGCCCTGAGTGGAAGCAGCAGGTGTGGAGAGCAAGGAGGCAGATGTGGACTGAGAAGTGGGTCAGGGGAGTAGTGGGCATCCCACAAAGGGTGCTGGCCTGCTGCCTCGCCTCTGATGCACCCTGGGACTACAAACAGATCCCAGCTCCCCTTTGGCCTCACGCACAAAGTAGAGGCTGTGGTGGATTGTGGGTGGCAGATAGAGTTCATCTTGTGGGCAAGATCTACTTGACTGGCTGAGGTTGCCCAGAGTCCTGTGCTGTATCTTTGCAGTGTCATGATTAGCTACAGGGACAGACAGTGGTGGCTAACGTGCCAACCTGGCACTGGATGATGTTAAAGGTCCCACCCAGCTCAGAGAGTCTGTAGTCTTGAGTATTAGCAGTCAGCCAGCTAGCTGCAGGATCCTAGGCCAGAGCTAACTCTTGAGGGGCTTGGGAACCTGATATTATGTGGAATCATTCCCCAAGTCTGACTGTTGTGGCCCTCTGGGGTCTCTCAGCCTTGGTTGGTGGGGACAAGGGGTGATGAAAAGGAGGAACTAATGCGAGAGTTGGTGGCAGAGCCAGAGCAGGATGAAGAAGACTATCTCAGTTCCTGAGACTGGGCTTGCCCCCTCTTGAGGGTCCTTACCTTCTCTTGTGTCCTGCTCCCCGCTTGATCTCCTCAGCTGCAGCAAAAGGCCGTAGCCAGTGAGATCTTCAAGGGCAAGAAGGACAATTACCCTCAAAGTGTCCCCAGGCTCTTCATCAGCACACGGCTCAGTGAGTCCTTGACCTTCCAGTGCTCAGCCCCTCCCTTCCCAGGCCCCTCTCCCACTCTCACCTCCATCTCCTCCATGTGGGTTGCAGGTACGGATGAGATCAGCCCCAAAGTGTTACAAGCTCTAGGCTCGGAGCCCATCCAGGTGAGAGATACCTGCAGCCTTTAGTCCTGCACAGTTCTGTGGCCCAGAGGCTGAACAGGGAGCCTGGGCAGACAGGGAGGAGGTTGTCCCTTGAGCCTCCTTAGCTCCTCCCTGGCCCTCTGTTCCCAGTATGCAGTGCCTGTAGTGAAATATGACCGCAAGGGCTACAAGCCTCGCTCTAGACAGCTGCTGCTGACACCCAGCGCCGTGGTCATTGTGGAAGACGCCAAAGTCAAGCAAAGGATCGATTACACCAATCTGACTGGTATGCCAGAGTTCAGGGCTATAGAGGGAGAGGCCAGCTCTGATCTTTGAACCCTGACCTCTGCCCTCCCCACTCAGGGATCTCCGTCAGCAGCCTGAGCGACAGTCTCTTTGTACTTCATGTGCAGCGGGAGGATAATAAGCAGAAGGTGCCGTTCTGGGGGTTGGGAGGCAGGGTGGGGGTGGGGTCTTTCCTCTAGCTCTGGGCAGTGTCTGACCTCTCCCCATTTGGGTACCCCAGGGGGATGTGGTGCTGCAGAGTGACCACGTGATTGAGACTCTAACCAAGACAGCCCTCAGTGCCGACCGTGTGAACAACATCAATATCAACCAGGGCAGGTGAGGGCCTTGTGTGAAAGATGGGGGTGGGGCAGGGGCCACCCTGGGTGTGAAGTCCTCACATGCTCCTTTCCCTCCAGCATCACTTTTGCAGGGGGCCCCGGCAGGGATGGCACTATCGACTTCACACCTGGCTCAGAGCTGCTCATCACCAAGGCCAAGAATGGCCACCTGGCTGTGGTGAGTGAGACCTGGTAGGCCACAGCGTGCTTTCCTGCCTCAGACGGCTGAGCCTTCCTTGGCTCTCACCTGTACGTAGGTCTCAGTCCCGAGGGCTCCACATCCTGACCACTTCCTCCCATTGCTCACCAACGAGAACTGAAGAAGGCACGTTTGACTGTCTAGAGTACAGTCATAAAAATGGCATTAAGGGGAGGTGATGGGAAGGGGTACTAAGTGGAATGTTAGAGCATCCCAGCACTAAGGCCATGAGTGTCCCCCTCCCCCCGGCCCCGTGGTACATGCATCTAACAAGTGCCCAGAGCATCTCCTGTCTACTTCCCATCACCATCTAGACTTCTCCCTCTGCCCCCAGGTGGCCCCACGGCTGAATTCTCGGTGATGAAGGTGCCCACTGGACCCCCTACAACTCCCTAATGCTTTGCTTATCCCCACCTCCCTTTCCCAGTTACCAAAGACTCAAGCATCCAGACAGGGACCCAGGGTCACCTCAAAGCCCACCTGCAAACTCCTGCCTCCTGCTCACCTCTCTTTTAGGGGAGATCAGGGGCCAGGGAGCTATCCCAGGAGTGGGCCAGGCCGGGTCACAGCAATAGAAAAGCCGGGGCCGGAGCAAGCCATGCCAGCTCTGCCTCTGATGCCAAATATTTGAGAGAAAGGAACTTTTGCTGAGGTTTTCTCTGAGACTTTTTTGATGCTTTATAGGAAACGATTTTTTAAAAAGCCATTTTCCCACCCCAAGACACACTGGATGTGTTCTCCCTGCCTCCAGCAGGACAGGGGATGCAGCTGAGAGATGGGCAGGCCGGGCTCTGGTGCCCTTTTCCCTGCCCAGGCCACCCTCTCCTCATTCCCTTTGGCACCTTATCTGTCTTCTGTCTGCCTGCCCACCTGCACCCTTTGCAGCCTACTCTGGCCTCCCCATGGGGGCTGAGACTCCTCTTGCCTGCCCCCTTCTTCCTGCCTTAAGAATGTCCTGTTAATATTTTCATCCCAGGTAGAGGTGGGGGCCTGGAGTGGGGAAAGGTGTCTTAAACCAGAGACTCAGAGAAGCCATCTAATCTAGCCCCCTGGTGTCACAGAGCAGGAGACCCAAGGCCAAAGAGGGGAAGGGACTTACGCAAGGTCAGTCAGTAGGTTGGGGCAACCCAGGATGACAGCTGTGCCCTCAGCACACCTCACTGCCTCTCCCAAGGACAGGGAGCCCTATAAAACCTGGGTCATGTCTGAAGTGTGCATCTGGCCCCCTGACCAGCACTCACCTTTAGGGGCTGCCAGGTGGAGGAGCACTTCCGCTTTAATCCATGCCTTAGGATGACAGCGCCTTGCCTGTGTACTTCGGCCCCAATTCAAGGACATAGCCCTGTACCCTCCCTGACATGGGAGACTAGGGAGGGCTGCCCTAGGAAGGAGCTGCAGGGACATCACCTTTTTCTGCTGCTTCCTCCCCAGAAGGCCTGGGGTTGCCCAGCTGCCTCTGCGTCCTCCTGAGGAACTTGGCCCACTGCTGACGTTTCTGCAATCCAGAGAAACACTAAATAAAGCAATATGTGTTTGCCAACATTGGTGTGCATGTGGCTATTAGGAAAAGGAGAGGGCCTCTACAAGCCAACCAAATAGTTGTCACTGCATCACTTATGTCTCTAGGCAACCTTATGTGCCTCAGTAGAAGTGTGCTCTTCAGATTGACAGACTTTTCTTCTAAGGCCCTTCTGAGTGAATTTGAGTCACCAACCTTTTGGCTAATAGCTGAGAACTTCACAATTGATGCCACCTAAGGGACTCCAGAAAGCAACCAATTCTGCCTTATTCCCAGAAGGAAAGATGTAGGGCTTCTTCTCTGATCAAGAAGAACAAGAATGACCAGTAGCTGTCTTTCAAACTTGCCCTTCCATCTGCTGTTTATTGAGAGACTGCCCACCTAGGCCCAGTCCTATGGACTGCAGGGAAAGGTGCATCACCCACAGTCCCTGCCCACATGCTCCTCATGGACAGGCAGGACTCGTAGACAGAAACACAGCCTAATGTGGAGACGACAGGTGGGTGTTCAAAGAATCTAGTGGATCAGATAGTGGGCAAAATGATGAAAACTTCTTAGACATTATCAAACATCTTAAGAGGCAGTGAGTAGCTAGCTGAGCCTGGGGCTCAGGATCATAGTCTCATGGGACACCATGGTCAATTGGTATAATGTAGTCTACAAAGATAATGTTGTACATCTTACTACTTTACTGAGTAGCATCTGAGATCTTAAAAGCTCATGGAAAAAAAAAAAAGCTCATGAGCTGCCATCTAAGGTGCAGAAGGAAAAAGAATGATGGAAATTGAAGATGCTCGGAATCAGTTATCCTAATGGACTACTGGAACATGTGAATATCAGTCTCTACAACTCTGAGACCAGAAGAACTAGATGGTACCCAGCTACCACTAACAACTGCTCTGAAAGGATCACATTAGAAGTTCCCAGATAGAACAGCAGAATCTGTGGAACAAAACTCAAAATTATTTTTAAAAAAGAGACTGGATTGTTGACCGTCCAAACCATAGGCTTTGAGGATCAGACTTTAGCTACCTAGTAGACATAGCAAACTGTCCCTCATCTGATTATTCAGTAATGCTTGTTAGTAATCTCATACATGAGGCCTGGATATCCACAGATAAATGTAAAAACCTTCCCTAAAAGCCGAGACTGTAAATTCCAAAAAGGCAAGTCCCCCCTCAACCAAAAAAAAAAAAAAAAGCTAAAGAGGCTAGAGAGAAACACTGTTAACTGATGATATATGGAGGGGATAATAATCAATGTAATGAAACAAGCTATATGAATGGTTGAATGTGAAGCTGATGATGTGCCCTGTAAACTTTCACTCAATCCAAAATAAAAACATTTAATAAAAAAAAAAAGAGACTGGAGGAACCTGAGACTATGACCCTCTATCACCCTTCAGGTCAGGAAAGGAACTCACGCTCGTAGCCCAACTTTCAGCCAACTAGTAGATAGGTAGTTATATAGGGGGAACAATTCTATTAAGGTACATCATTAAGAATGATGAAACAGTTATTCAAAATCAAAGCAGCAAGTGTACTTCAAAGCAGCAAGTGTACTTTAGGACAAAGGTAAGAAGGGATGGGATGTTGGGTGAAATAGAAATAGGAGCCATAGGGAGGAAATGGAATAACTGTTGTTCCATGGAGGGGATTGCAATCATTGAGATGAAACAGAGGGTATAATTTGTTGAGTGTAGAACTAACGATCTTGTCTATAAGCCTTCACTCAATTTGCAATAAAAAGTTTATTTAAAAAAAGCACAAGGATGCCATCAAATAATCATGAAATAAAAGCTTGGAGTGGCACAAGTAAGAAAACAAAACAGCTGACTAGTCCAAATTCTGTTGCAAGTGACAAATCCAATCCCAACTGCCTTGAGTAGACACATCAGTTGCTCTCAAATATGAACTCATGGTGACCCCATGTGTATCAGTAGAACGGTGTTCCACAGGATTTTAAGAAGTTTGGTTGAAAGTAGATGGCCAAGCCTTTCTTTCAAGGCATCTCTGGTGGGACTCAAACCTTCAACCTTTTGGTCAGCAGATGAATGGGTTAGCCATTTGCATTCCAGCTTGGGCAGAAATGGGCATTTATTACCATTAACAACTTAGTCCCAGATACTCAAATCATCTCTTGGCTCTAACTCTCTCTGTGGGGCCAGTCAAAGCCACCAGCAACTGGGCCCTCGTTCTATGACTTTAGCAATGGAGGTAGAAAGAAACATCCTCTGTCCCACTCATTCAAGTTAAAGTCTCGGAGCTAATGCTCAGTGGATCAACTTCAATCAGATGCCCTTTCATGACTCAACCACTGGAGTTAAGAGAGTATATTCTGATCTTCCAGGCTTGGGTCATATGCCTGCCCCCAGGCAGCAGTGATGTGAACCACGCCCAACTACAAGGAGCAAGAGGGGACACTTAAAAAATCAGAATATCCCAAAAGGAGGCTGCAAGCAACTGCAATGAAGTTCATCAATGCATACCCTAATGCCATGGAAGCCCACACATGGCAACCTCATGTTTGTTTTTGTTGTTTTGTTATTTAGTGCTGTCGAGTTTGTTCCAACCTATAGCGACCTTGCATAGGGTTTCTGAAGAGTGATTGGTGGGTTTGAACCACTGACCTTGCAGTTTTGAACTGCAGCTAATTCAGTGCATTAGCGCCACGCCAGGACTCCTCTGTTATTTTAGAAGTATCAAATAACAACCATTTTATTACATCACGTGAATTCTGGATAAGCAGTTTGAATAATGCAGTGGGGAGGGTTTACCTTTGCTCTGTGAATCCAGGGACTCAGCTGGGAAGACTCACATGGCTGGGAATGGCAGGAATGTCCAGGGACTAGAAACATCTGGAGTCCATAGAATTTTCTTGGCTGCAAACAGTGAAAGCAGATCACCAGGCCTTTCTTTTGTGAAACTGATGGAGTGGGTTGGAGCCACCAACCGTTAGGGGAGTAGTCAAGTGCAAACCATTTATGCCTCTCAGTGACCTGCACATTTTCCCAAGAGGAAGGGGCATTGTAAACAGTGGGAAAGGAAGGAATAGTGTATACAGCATTGGGATGAAAAAAAAAAAAGGTTTGGATTGGGGCCAGTCTACTATCTGAGGAGTTTGGATTTGTCACCATGGGCAGAAATTCTCAATGAATTAGATACCATGCAATGCATGACTATCTTGGACTTAGCACAATCCTGTGAACACACCTAGATTTTGACACCTATCTAAAAATTAATGTATGGGGAAATGAAAGCACCACCATCATTTGTCCACTCTATTGGTAGTAACTGTGTCTCCAAGAAGCAGAGAGATAAGATAGGCATGAGTTAGGGACAATTACCAGCTTTATAACTATAATGACACCTTGTTTTTCTAGCGAACTGGAATGTGTATAGAAGTGCTGTCACGGATATAATCCAGATGTCAGTTGAGGACACTCTTATCCTTTTGAGATGTGACTAAGAATGGTTTGTGTCCCCTGCTCATATCCTGTGGGAAGTCCAACGCCTTCTAGAAGGTATCTGGTAAAATTTGGGAAGAAGCAAATTTTGGCTCTGGTGGTGCAGCAGTAAAGTATTTAGCTACCAATGGAAAGGCTGATGTTTCATGCTCACCCAGCAGTTCCACAGGACAAAGACCTGGCAATCTGCCTCCGTAAAGATTAACCTCTTCTGTCATGTTCATTCCAATTTATGGGGACATTAGAGGATATAAAACTGCCCCAGAACATTTCCAAGGTTATGAATCGGGCTGCTAACCTCAAGGTTGGCAGTTCGAAACTACCAGCTGTTCCACTGGAGAAAGATGAGGCTTTCCGTTCCCCATAAAGATTTACAGCCTCGGAAATCCTGTGCAGGGTCACTGTGAGTTGGAACTGACTCCATGATACTTTAACAATAACAATTTTTACAGAAGTAGCTTGTCACATCTTTCTCCTGAGGAGTAGCTTGTGGGTTTGAACTGCTAACCTCCTGGTTAGCAGTCAAGTACTTAACCATTGTGCCAGCAAATGCTTCTCTCTATTACAATTACAGCCCGAAAAACTGGATACAACAGTTCTACTCTGTCAGATGGGGTTGCTATGAGTCGAAATTGACTCAACAGTCCCCAACAACAACAATTTTGCCTACCAGAGTCTCCATGCATTAATTCCTTCATCCAAACAAAATGTATTGATTACTTACTATGTGCCAGATTCTGCCAGGCATTTGGGATAGATATATCAGGAACAAAAAAGGGCGTTTACATTCTAAGGGGAAAAGAGACAATATACAAAACAAAACATGTTTAAAAATGAGCAAGGGATAAATGTTAAGAAAGCAAAGCAAAGCAGACTAATGAGGAGTCCTGGTATGGCCCTGTAAGGATAAGCACTTGAGTGCAAGATCTGTTTGAACCAAACAGTTGGTGGTTCAAACCCACCAGCTGCTCCTTGG